TGGTTAATTAAATAAAGAAACTGCTTGCCCTAATAGGTTAAAACATAGGTGGGAGGAGTAAACAGGAGGAAGAGGAAGTGAGGTAAGACTCCTCAGACAGACGCGAGATAGCTCTGCTCTCAGAGACACACGTGATGAAGCTCCGACTCAGGATGGACATAGGCTAGAATCTTCCCGGTAAGCGCACCTTGGAGTGCTTACACAGATTATTAGAAATGGGCTAGTCCAGGTGTGAGAGTTAGCCGAGAAGAGGCTAAATATAATGGGCAAGCAGTGTTTAAAAGAATACAGTTTGTGTGTTGTTATTTAGGGCATAAGCTAGCCAGGCGGCTGGGGTGCTGGGGACGCAGCCCCGCCACTCCTAATTCAACAGCCGTGAGCTCCTCTAGGACTGGAATTGCAGTTGTGAGCCACAGTGGAGCTGCTGGGAAACCCAGGGCCTCTGCAAGAGCAACAAGAGCAGCTCAGGGCTTAGCCATCTCCCAGCCACCATGGAATCCACACAGCGGTGGCGTTGTGGACATAAATGTGGATCCTCATTCCAGTTTGAGGTTTTTTTTTTGTTTGTTGGTTTGTTTGTTTGTTTTGAGACAGGGCCTCCCTCTTGTCTCACTCGCTATGTGTCCTAGATTGACTTCCAAGGTTTAACCAACAGTTCTCAACCTTTTGTGTGCTAGGATTCTAGGTGTGAGATATCACATCTGCAATGAACTTGACTTTCAAAGGGAGAGAATTTTAAATTTGTTTTGGGGCATGTTAATCACTGTAGGTCAGTGGTTCTCAACCTATGGGTCATGACCCCTTTTGGGGGTCAAACAGCTTTTTCATAGGGGTCAAGAAAGGCCATTAGAAAACACAGATATTTACATTATGATTTGTAACAGTATCAAATTTACAGTTATGAAGTAGCAACAAAAATAATTTTATGGTTTGGGAACTGTACTAAAGGGTCTCAGCATTAGGAAGGTTGAGAACCACTGCTGTAGATAAAGATTTGAAGCTGGCCAGGCAATGATGCCAAAAAAAAAAAAAAAGCTGAGAGATTGCTCAGTCATTAAAACATAAAAGATTTGAAGCTGTATGTAGCACACGCCTCACGCCTATAATTCCAGACTGAGGCAGAATTGTAGAAAACCAACTAGGTAGGCCAAGCTGGAATAAACATAAAGACTTAAAACCAGGGGCTAGGAGAGTGGCGTGTAGAAGTGAACTTGAAATTCAAAGACTGGGTCCCACTGAAAAAGAGGAGAGAGCAAGGGTCAAGAGTCACCCTTGTTTTGGGTTATGAGACATCTGAAGGTGTCCGGCAGCATGAGAGTGCAAGGAACCCAGAACACCAAAGAAGACGGGCATCTGGAGTTCCTGGATACATGCCGGGCTCACCGTGGAGTCTGTGGAACTGGGAGATGTGCTGGACAGAGCTTTGGTGACTTAAGTGCCATCTGATGTCCTTACTGCATACAATAGAGGGCAGGGACAGAAGCCACAGTCATAGGCCATGGAGCAGGAACTTGGCGGGGGCAGTGAGGCCAGTCATGATTCTTGGTGGGAAAGGAAGGAGAGAGGGAAACGCGGGGAACAGCCAGTGGGAGTCTTCAAAGGTCAGCCATGGAAGGACTGAATTGAGGAGAGAGTGAGGGTAGCCATCCAGGCAGAGGGACAGGGGAGTGGGAGGCATGGGATGGAGAACTCCCGAGCCGGGCAGAGGAACCAGACTGTGATGGACAGCGTTTCCATGAAATGCCCTGCATCTTCTCAGTAAAGCAAGAAACAAGGAGTCAAAGAGAAGGAATGGGTGTACTTAGGATTCAAAGACACCAGCTAAAGATGCCAGGAGCCATGGGAACAGTGTGGGCACAGCAGTATTGCGAGTATAAGGCTTTGGAACAACCCTGAAGCTTCTGATTCTGGGCTCCAGGCTTGGCAGGAAGTCAGGTGGAGGATGAAAACCAAAGGGGGTGTATGGGAGGAGTGGGGAGCAGGAGGAGGGGCGAGAAAGGACTGCTGTCGGGTCACTTACTTCCGTGTAAAGACTCTGCCCGTCTTTAGTGTCTCTAAACCCAGCCTTGCCCCATCTGAGTTAGAAGGTCCGTCTGCAGCAGTCTAGGTGGTATGGCCTGCGGTGCTGGGCATGGCCTTGAGCAGTTTCTGTCCTAATCTTCTTTGCTGCTTTTGATAACCCTGTGAGTTAAAAAGAAGCTGAGTCAAGAGAGGCTTGTTCATCCTCAGACATCCAGTGCTGAAGGGGAGCTTTAAGCCCAGCTGAGCTGACTGGGGCCTTGACCATGCTTAACCACTTCCCGCCAAAACCGGCCAAAGTTCCCATACAGGAATTGTCTCTTAAAATCACCCCCATTGTTCTTATAATAGCAAAAAGTAACCTATATCCATAGTTTGTAAGTCATATCCCGTCCTTCCCTTCCTATTCTCCCTCCCTCTCCCCCCCCAGAGCCTTGCACAAACCAAGGCGTCCAGCTGCTGAGCTGCATTCCCGTGCTCTAATATGCGACCTGCTGTGCCCTTCACATGTCCTTCAGTCTCACGTGTTCTTCATTTGATTGCCACACATCCTTGTGAGGTTTATAGCCATGTGCAGGACAGAGGAAGACACTGCCAACTCTGTGATTACTGTCTTTATTCCTCGAGTCTGCGATGTTTAATCATTCCAGAAGGGCCTGACACAAAAACCCTGTGATGTTTTTGCTCTCAATTATGCTAGACTCCTTTTGGGAAAGGCATTCTCACCATAGGTCTTCTGCTTTCATCCAGGTCATAGAACTCTGTATGTGGGGGTTCGGATGCCACTGGGCAGGCAGGGCCATCGGCACCACCGCACCCATGGCCAGAAGCACCGGAGACGAGGAACACGGGGCAAAGGAACCGGCCAGGGTGAAGAGGCCCTGGAAGCTTTGGACCATGGTAATCCCTTGGGGAGGGAGAGGGGACCAGTGTCTACAATAGGGTGTGGTGACTCATGGGAATGCAGGAGGCATAGGCAGGTGGTCTTGATTTTCTAGCCCTTGGCTAGAGTTCCCAGGAAGAAGGAATGCTTCTAAGAACTAAAAATGTCTTCCTGAAATTGACATTTCAACACCTCAGTCAACACTATAAGTAATCCTTTGCTATTTAAAATTTGTCAGCTCTCTAGAAAACTAAAAAAATCTATTTTTATGTGTTTGGGTGTTTTGCCTGCATGTATGTTTATGTGCCACATGCTTGCCCGGTGCCTTTGGTGGCCAGAAGAGGGGACATATCCCTGGGACTGGAGTTAGACAATTGTGAACTGACGTGTGGGTGCTGGGAACTGAACTGATTTCTAGGTTCTCATGGGACTTCTGCAAGTGGTCCTAGTTTATAGTTCTGTCTTCTGGTTTAAATGTTTACACTTAGCCTTTTCCCTAAGAACAAAAGAACTTTTAAATCTGTATTCAGGACATCTATATATTCTCTAAGCTGTGAGGCAGAATGTTATTTTCGTTCTGACTTGCAGCTAGATACACATCCAGACCTTTCTATGTTGGTTTTCTAGACACCCCATCTCAACGTGTTCAGTTCATTCTGGGCACTGAGGACGACGAGGAGCATGTGCCTCATGAGCTGTTCACAGAGCTGGATGAGATCTGTCTGAGAGAGGGAGAGGATGCCGAGTGGAAGGAGACGGCCAGGTGAGGCCCTGAAGGAGCCAGGTCAGGAGCTCAGGAGGTGGCAGGCCTGCTTGCCCTGACTCCTCATGGCTGAAGTGGTAGCTAGGAGGCCTGGCTCCTGCTCACACTGATGTAGCTAGCGTTGATGCATGCTCAACTGTGGACGTTTCCCAGGGGCCGGGAGAGCTAAACAGGCCAGCTGGCCTGATACCAAGTGACAAGGCGGTTAGTCTTCCGTGTTTCTGTCTTTGTGGATTTCTGAAGTCATACAGAGCACTGATAAAAATGTCATTTTTATTAATGTGGTTTGTCAATATGTTCAAATGATATAGATTAAATTTTTAAGTCACACTATAGACAATTAAAATAAATGAAGATAAGCAAAAGGAAGAAAATGACAGTTACCTTCAATCCTACCTTTAGTCCCAAGGAGAAAACAAGGCATATATTTAGGGTCTTATACATATATGTGTTTATAATTATAGATTTGTCTTTAAATAAAAGTGGGATTAAGGTTGGGCATTGGTGATCCTCACCTTTAGTCCCAGCACTCAGGAGACAGAGGCAAAGGAGTTCAAGGTCAGCCTGGTCTACAACGTGAGTTCCAGGACAGCAAAGGCTGTTACACAGAGAAACCCGATCTCTAAAAACAAAACAAAAAAGATTTGCACTGTGCCACAACTTGCTTTTCCAGTATTTTTGTGTCTGGACCAGGTGTTCCAGTGTTCTCTATGACCTTTTGGATATTTTGTCCTCTTGAAAAAAAAAAAACATCATCTGTCTGTGGCATCTCATTATTGGCCATGTTTGCAGGTGGCTGAAGTTTGAAGAGGATGTTGAAGATGGGGGGGAGCGCTGGAGCAAGCCTTACGTGGCCACCCTCTCTCTGCACAGTCTGTTTGAGCTGAGGAGCTGCCTCATCAATGGCTCTGTCCTCCTGGACATGCGTGCAAGCAGCATAGAAGAAATTTCAGGTAAGGCTAACAAAGGGCCGAGACATTTTGTATAAACAGAAAGTATAAGAGGCAGGTGTTATGGTGCACACCGGTAATCCTGGAAGTTGGCAGGGCTGAAGCAGGGGAAAGACCTGCACTATACAGTGATACTTTATCTTATGCAAAACAGACAGAACAAGGAAGTCAGAAAGAAAGAAAATTAAAGGGCTGCTCAGATGGCTCAGTAAAAATATTTGCTGGGCAACTTGAGTCCCACCCAGGAACTCATGACGGAAGAAGTGACTTACGAAAGTTGTCCTCTGTCCTCCACGAAGACTCCATGGCGCACGCCTTCATCACACACACGTGCACACTAATAATTGTGACAATCATAAAAACTACAAGAAGAAAATTAAATTAAAGTATAGCCGGGCGGTGGTGGCGTACGCCTTTAATCCCAGCACTTGGGAGGCAGAGGCGGATCTCTGTGAGTTCGAGACCAGCCTGGTCTACAAGAGCTAGTTCCAGGACAGACTCCAAAGCCACAGAGAAACCCTGTCTCGAAAAAAACAAACAAACAAAAAAAGATACTGTGTTTGGGGCGTAGCTTTGGAGACTACCAGATGGCATGTGGAACACTTCCCCTCAGATTGACTCCATTCTACTAGACAGGTTAAAGATTTCTCCATTCCAAGGATCTAAATAATCATGCCTCTCTAAGGACTTTTGGGGGCCCTGGGGGATGGAGGTCAGTACTGATGGACTCCTGTGCGAACTCTTTCCGAAGGCGGTGCCCCAGTTGTACTCCCAACTGTGGGGGAAGTAGAATTTTTTAAAAAAAGTGAGTTCAGAGTTAGAGTCACATTCACTGCTCTAGAGATAGTGGAACCTGTGAGAATGGAGACGCAAGTACAGTTTACACCCTGAAGACAGCGCCACGGGCAAGTCTCAGGTAGTGGGCAAGTTGCCCTTGGCAATTGGCAAAAACATGTTCTCTGTGGAGGCTTATAAAAACAGTAGCCAATCAGAAAGAGTGGACTCACCCCTGTCCAATCAATACACCGCATACAAACAGTTGCCAGTCATAAAGAATAAACTTACTCCTGTCCAATCAATACACCTGGAAGGGGCACAAAACCACATCCCAGAACAGTTGTGTGTTTCTGAAGAAACTGAGGTCCCAACACTCATGGTTTCTGGGAGTTTTCCCAGAGCACTTTTATCTTCTTTCACACCACTCAACTCCTAGACTGTAATCCAAGTGGGTCACATCTGTATTTCATCGACTTCTGACTACGTGTCTAAATGCCCGTGAAGTTCCCCAGAAAGTTTGTGCCCTGTTTTTCAGTGGAGAAGCCCCGGAGAGTTAGTGATTTTATAATCAACAAGAATGAGGAGACCCTGCTGAAGTCTTGGGGGTAGTGCTCGATCAAATTAGCTGTAAGAAAGATGGAGGGCGAGCTAAAGGAAGCGTGAACCAGGTCGTTGGATCCGACCAGGTGAGATGGTGCTCCACTGCAGAGGAAGGAGACCTTCCCTCCGCCACCCCCGGCACAGGGCTGCTCCTTCCTGGACCCCAGATTAGGTACAAACCACATCCAAGCACCTGTTTCTAAGGCGATTTTTTGTAAGTGGGGAAGAAAAGTTTAAGTGGCCCCTGTCTGACTCAGGCAGAAAAAGAAGCAGCAGATGGCCTTGCAGGTGGAATTGTAGGAGAAGGGAAGGGGGTCATGTTACAGTGGGCTAGGACACGGTGGTGACAGAGGTAGGGCTGAGGGGGGATGGGGAAGCAGATGAGGGAAGGGGGGCAGGAATATTTGTCCCAGAGGGACAAAGGACCGCCTCCGGATAGGAGGAGACAGATGTGGCACATAAGCACATAACGGTAAAATGGGAGAACTCTGTGTTAGGGTGAGGTGTTTAATTTTAATTGGGCATGTTAATTAGGTGAGTCAAGGGGGCTTCTGATAGCTGGACTGGAGTCAGCCTCAGGAGTCTTATTATTCCACAATAAGGGAAGAAACCTTAGTGGCTAGCTTTAGGAATGCAACCCAAAGGTTTTTAAGCAAGGTAGAGGGGCTGGGGGAGAAGGGTAAGACCTGGCAGAGCCACCTGCTCCAGTGAGCCAGTGTCCCATCAGTGTGCCAGGGTCCCCTCAGTGGGCCAGGGTCCACTCAGTGGGCCCTACAGCAAGGGCTGATTGCCAGAGCAGCTCAGGAGGTAGAGTAGTGTGAATCACTTGATGGACTGGTTTTGGGCAGGAACGGAAGAAATCCGCAGGTCTGGTGGGTGGAAAGAGGATGGGTTTCATTTTGTACTTGCTAAGTTTTAGGGTGTGGGTACATCCAAATGATGTCTGCCCATGATCGGAGCTTTGATGTGACTTGAGATAGGTCACACCGGTCCATGGCATTTGGTGCTTACAGTCTCCAGGGCAGTTGAGATTATTGAGGTTAGAAATGGGGGTGGGGACACCACCTGTCTGAGGATGACTGCGGGGGTATAAGCAGGCTGACAGAAGTGAGTTGCCCGTGGAGACTGAGCTCAGGAGTGCAGATGGTAAGGGGATAGCCAGTGCCAGCTGCCAAGCCTGTGTTAGCCACCAGGACTGCTGCAACCCAAGTCCACATGTGTGGTGGTAACACCTGGAATGCCAGCACTCAGAGGGTAAAGCAGGTAGATCAAGTTCAAGACCACTCTGGGCTTGTAGCAAGATCTCGTCTCAAAATACAACCAATCAAACAATAAGTTTGGAAGCCCGAAATCTGAAATGAGTTCTGGGCAGAGCTGTGTTCCTAAAGGCCCAGAGCAGACACGGATTTTCGTGACCCTTTGGCGCTTGGCAGGGAGCTGCAGGTGATTCTTAAAGTACGATTGTTTGCTTTTGAAAATTTTAAGTGGGAAGAGAAAAGCTAAAAACAGTAGCTAGAAGAGGGCCCTCGTGGAATTTTCTTCTTTCAAAGTGCAGGATTTTGAAGCATGAGTGTATATGAGAGAAGAAATAATCATTATAAAAGCTAAATATGCAGGACTCCCGCCTTGATGCTCACCCCTCTGGTCCCCGCACATAGAACAGGCAGGAGGACCAGCTACTCACAGCTCAATGTGGCGGCCATCAGCATGGGGAGACATCGGCGCTGTCCTCTCTGTATAGGGGAGACTGTGAAGAGAGTGGTCATGTAATTCCAAGGTCAGATGGGTCAAGAATAATGGAACTAGGGATAGAGTGTAGGGCCTGAAGGATAAATGTAGGACATTTATCTAGAGCCCTGATGACAGAACCAAGTAAGACCTTCCGCAAACCTTGATAGTTTAAATGCTGGTGATTGTCTTCAGTGAGCAGTTAACTAATTTAAATAATACATTTTTAAACTTTATTATTTCATTTTATATTCGTATTTTATCTGCATGTTTATCTTCTGGAAGAGCAGCCCATGCTCTAAACCATGAAACCATCTCTCCAGCCCCAATTTAACCTTTCTTTAAGCTGCACTTTCAAGTAGCCACTGGAGCTCAAGGTTGTAGCATGCCTGAGAGTTACAGCAATGCTGGGCTCGTGGAGGAAGGACAATAGAGTTAAGAGAGTAATCGTGGGCTCTTAGTCAACCAGTGCTGGATGCGAACCCTGGCTCTTCAGCTTCGCAGATGTAAGAGCTTGGGGACTTTTGTAAGAACCGTCCCTTGGTTTCCTTGTTTGGAAGAACTCTGGCTCAGAAGTTAAGAGCATCTGCGCCTCCTGCAGAGGACTCAAGTTTGGTTCCCAGGACCACATTGTGTGGCTCATGGCCACTTGTAACTCCAGCTACAGGGGAGCTGATGATTCTCTTCCAGTCTTCCTAGGTACCTGCACACATATGGGGCACACACAACATAAATAAAGATAAAAAATCCATTTAAAAATAGAATTAAAAAAGATTTTTCATCAAAATGCCCACTTTTTGAGTTTCAGTGAGGACTGGACAGATGACAGATGAGAATCCCATGGTACAGTTCTGGGCATTAAATACTCAGAGACTTCGTTCCCTCAGCAATGATTGGAGCTAAGCATAATGGCATACTCACCGTGATTAAGTCCTACCTTAAAATTTTTTTTAATAATAATTAGTTTTATTTTATACGTATGAGTAGTTTGATTGCATGTGTGCATGTATACCACATGCCTGGTGCCCTTGAGGGCTATAAGAGGGTGTTGGGTCTCCTAGAACTGGAATTACAGATGGTTATGACCACCATGGGGGTACTGGGAATAGAACTCAGATTCTTTGTAAGAGCAGTTAGTGTTCTTATCCATGGGGCCATCTCTCCAGCCCCGGTAAGTCCCACTTTTGCAGAAGGGTCACATTAGCCCGAGAATTCATGGCCAGCCTATATAGCATAGTGACACTCTGTCCGTAAACCATGTGTTTACATTGTTGTCTCATTGTTAAATAAGCAAAGGACGGTGTTCTATAGCTACAAAAACCTCAATGCTCCTTCAGATAGGAAGCTGAAACCACCTTGGTGACCCTAGGAAAGCAGCTCGTCTCTGCCTTTTGCCCCTTCCCCTGCCACCTCATATCCTTCACCTTGGGTTCCTGAACTCTCCATCTGAGTGTTGCTGTGAATGTCTCTTTCCTAGACCTGATACTGGACCAGCAAGAACTGTTCAGTGACCTGGATGACAGTATGAGGGTTAAAGTGCGGGAAGCCCTTCTCAAGAAACACCACCATCAGAATGAGAGGCGGAGGAACAACCTCATTCCCATTGTCCGCTCCTTTGCTGAGGTTGGCAAGAAACAATCGGACCCACATTCCATGGACAAGGATGGTAAGGACTTGGGGGGGGTCTCTCTTGTTTCTCTCTGTTGAAAACACATTTGGGGACCAGTTGGCGATGCGGAATTACTGGAGGGAGAGGCTGTGACACTTAGCTCCCTGGACTCTTTGATGGGTAGTGAGCTGGGTGACTAGGATGCTCCCTTTTCCCTATGCCCTTGGATAGCATTCCAGGGGGGTCTGCGAGGTGAGGGATGTATCCCCGCGTGCTCCCAGAGAAGGTGTAGCTCTGGGGAGAATGTTCACATCCATGAGGAGCTGGGCCAAAGAAGGTGAGCTGCAGCCTTGTCCAGTTAAACAAAAGTCTGCTTAGACACAAGCTGCCGTGGTCTAGCCAGGCCTCCAGGCTTGCACTTTGGCTCCACCCCCTGGAGAGTGTATGGCCCTGGACAATCTTCATGTCGCACTTAATAAAGACAATGGCAGGACCTTCCTTCCATTTGTTGTGGGATTTCTGTGTGTTAGCCTAGGTCCAGAGCCTGTGTGCAGGCGCGGGTGAGCCCAACTGTTAACCGCTTCTCTTGCCATGGCTGGGCAAGGCCTCACCTGTAGCTTCTCCTCCTTTGCTGGCAAGCTGTTTGCCAAGATCTCTGCAGAGGTGCTTGCGCACTGAGGATCAGGATGGCTCCCTGAAGAGAGAAAGGAAGAGAGGAGGGTAATGGAGGACTAGACCTCTGCCTTCTTAGCACTGAGTGAGGGGACAGACATGATGGACCCTGCTTCAGAGTCCTCCCAGCCTGTAGAGGTCACAGCTGGCTGTGATGGATGGCTGGGTCAGAGGCGAAGGAGGGGCAGGCCTGGCAGATTCTGTTTGACTGTCTCCAAATAGGTCAGACTGTTTCTCCTCAGTCTGCTCCAACTACGAGTCTTGAGGTGAAAAATGGAGTGAATTGCGAGCACAGTCCTGTGGATCTAAGCAAGGTGAGGAGGCGTGGCAGGCTGACTTCTGTAGTGGAGCCCAGGGTCTTCCGGAATCTTTCTGGGGTCTGGTAAGCTCCGACGGCTCATGAGCCTTCCCCAAGAGCAGCACTGCTTCTGTGGACAGGGACGCCATCTTCCTTGTTATCCCCCTCCGCACACTCGGCCGGCCAACTCAGCAAAGGCAGACTACTGCTGAGGCCCCACTGACCCGGCTCCCTCTGGCACCTGATGCCCTGCGTCCTTCTCACTGTTGTCACTGCAGTATTTGCCACTGCCTCCTAAAGCTCCTGATGTCGGGCTCTTCTTGGAGGGCTGTGGCCGCTGCATCTGATGGAGCAGCCAGTATTTGCAAGGAGAAATAACATGACCCAGAACTCCCAAGGCGCTTCCTCCCGGAGGAGCATGGTGGGGTGGGATCAAAGTTCTTAGACTTAAACTTTGATTCTTGAGGTGGCTCAGTGGCTAAAGGGGTTGCTGCCTGAATTCTGCCCTGAAACCCATACAGTGGTGGAGGAACTGATTTTCACAAGGTGTTCTCTGGCTTCCATACATGAACTGCACCATGTGTAGACACACACACACACAACACTCAAACACACACCCACACCCCCACACTAAATTATATATAGTTTATATGTGATATAAATGATAAATATGTGTGTGTATTCTATACTCCATAGTTCTAGTCCGAGTTCTCTCCCTGAATCTTAATCACTTCCCCCTTTGTTTTTAAATAGTGGACTGATCTGATCTATGATCGCTCCATTCAGGGTTTTTATAAAGATCAAATAAAAGAGTCAGGAACTCTTCTGTAACCTTGAGTGATACTTGAAGAGAATGATTGCCAGCAAAGCCTAAATTCTCAAAGGCTCCTATGTACTTTCAGGTGGACCTTCATTTCATGAAAAAAATTCCCACTGGGGCAGAGGCCTCCAATGTCTTGGTTGGAGAGGTGGACACTCTGGACCGTCCCATCGTCGCCTTTGTGAGGCTCTCCCCAGCTGTGCTCCTCTCGGGCCTGACGGAAGTGCCCATCCCAACAAGGTACCTGGGTCCTGCCCCGAGCTGAGTGACCTGTGTGAGCACTGGCACTCGTAGCTAGTTAGTACCAGAAGCTAGGGTGGGCCGTTTGGAGAGAGTGTTTAAAATTCCTTGGTGAGCTATGAAAGTGGGGGTGAAGGGAGGATGAGGGGTGAGGGGAGTGAGTTCTAACTTTTAAGGCTGTGACCATGAGTACTGTTGGCCTTGGAAGAGGAGCCCAGGGGAACAGGGAAAGAGCACAGCGGTGTCCAGTGGATTGTCACACCAGGAGGCCTTCGTCTGCAGGGAACTATCTCTAGGGAAAGGTACTGATGTCTTTCCACAGTGCTGGCAGGACTTGGCTATTTGTGTGCCCCGAGGTGGTGACGTGGTGACTCAGAGCCCCACTGATTATAGAGACTGCACAGATGTCCAGAACACGATTCACGCTCCTCTCCGGGACTTGGTCATTTCAACTTCTTATCCTTCCCTTTCTCTGTCATTTTCTTATTAGAACAGTGGATGGGGATTAGATAACCTTGAATTTACACAGTGGTACAGTGTTTTGAAAAGACATCCTTTCTATAGCTAGGAACTGTGTCTATGGTAACGCTAAGAAGCCCAGCCAGCCACATTATTGAATGATGTCTTATTAATAGCTCTGAATGGCACCTGGCCATAGCAGGCTGATGTTCTTCTTGAAGGCGGTGATGGTCTCTGTGTGGTAGTCGGGGCGAGGTTTGCTATTTAGAGTGGATAAGATGTCGCTTCTCCTTCTTTATTTATGTAGCTCCCTCTTTTGTGTGTTTTGGCAGATTTTTGTTTATCTTGCTGGGCCCAGTAGGAAAAGGTCAGCAGTACCACGAGATTGGCAGATCTATGGCCACCATCATGACCGATGAGGTACAGACCACTTCTGCATTCCACCCGCTCATCTCATAAATAGTGAGCATTTCTCTCTTGCGGAAGCTATGTGCGTTGTTGGGGATACAATAAGGACTGTGACAGCATCTGCTGGGAAGCATCCGGGACTTCTCTAGGAGCCGTTCAAGAGAACCACACCCTCTGGGAGACTTTCCTTGCAGTTCCATTGCTTGTTTGTTTATAGACAGGTTCTTAGTAGCCCAGGTTGGCCTTGAACACCTAGTGCTGGGATTATAAGCATGTCCCACTATGGCCTCTTAACTCTCCCTTTTTTAAGTAATCCAAGATGCAAAGACATCATTTTCTGGGAGAATTATTATTGCCAAGTAAAATGTGTCAACTCATATTTAATGTAGCTCATGAAGCCTGAGTTAACTTTCTAGAGAATATAGTTAATTAAATACGTTGAAGTTATTTGAATAAAGAAATACTCCTGTTCCCTGGAAAGAGAGGTTTGCATAAGGTCAGGCTGTTCCCTCAGGCAGTGTCATGTGGAGGTGTCACGGTTGCTCTGTACCTGGTGAGGGCTGCTGTGCAGTGGGTTCCAAGGCACACATCTGTGTACTAAGTTCATGTATGGCTGTCCAAGGCACACATCTGTGCGCTAAGTTCATGTGTGGGTGTCCAAGGCACACATCTGTGCACTAAGTTCATGTGCAGGTGTCCAAGGCACACATCTGTGCACTAAGTTCATGTGTGATCTCTCTCTGGTCCTTTCACAGATGACCTCCATTAGCAAGACCATCTATTTTCAGACGTGACTAAGAGAATTTCTGTGTCTTATTCTTTCTCTCGTGGAGACAATAAAATGACTTTAGAATGGTGTCTTACCTCCTTGACACAGGGTCTCACTCCATGAGCCCACCTGGCCTTCCACTTGAGGTGCCCTCCTGCTGTGGTCTGGGGTGTGCCTGGATTCACGGGCACAGGCACCTCCGCACTCTGCGTTAGGTTCCTTTAAGCACTAAGTTTTATGTCTTAGATGTCCATGCCAGAGATAAAAATCAAGAGGCTGTATCCATTTCTCAGTGGATATCATTGCAAACACAATAATGTTGAGTTTTCCTAAGGTTTTTTCCTCCCTTCTGTAGATTTTTCATGATGTGGCATATAAAGCCAAGGAGCGAGATGACCTTCTGGCCGGGATAGATGAGTTCCTGGACCAGGTGACCGTGCTCCCTCCAGGGGAGTGGGACCCATCCATTAGAATTGAGCCACCCAAAAATGTCCCTTCCCAGGTAACGTATGCATATAAGCTATTTGTGGCTGCTGTTCTTTCCACAGACAAGCAAAAGTTATGTCTGTTTATGCCGAATATACCAAGACTTGTCCCTGTTTGGGAGCTCTTGAATGTCAGACTAGGAATAAAAGATTAATCTGTAATAACAGGTAGGCCCGGTTGTGATGAGATATCATTGTCTTTTGTTTTGTTGTTGTTGTTGTTTTCTTTTGGTTTTGAGACAGGGTTTTGCTGTAGCTTTGGAGCCTGTCCTGAAAAATAGTTCTTGTAGACCAGGCTGGCCTCGAACTCACAGAGATCCATCTGCCTCTGCCTCCCAAGTGCTGGGATTAAAGGAGTGTGCCAACCCTGCCCGGCTAAAATATCATTGTTAACTGGGAATGGAGTTCTCGCCACACTGGAAAGGACTGATCTAGAGGGAAGGAGGGGAGAGGGAAAGTATTTCCTGGAAATACATTGTATACAAAATAATCAAGTTAAAAAAAAAACATGGTATAATGAAAGAAGAAATAGGTTTCTAGTGGTTCTCTGACATACCGAGGATGGGGAGAGAGCTTCTGTATGTACCAGATGAGGACAGACATTTTATCCCTGTTTATTTGGCCTTCCCAGATGCCCGCCCCCTGCTCTTATCTCTAGTTTACAGAATTGACTGATCTAGGGCAAGATTTTAAAGGTCGTGAGACAGGGATGCAGACCTGAAACTGAGGCTTCAGTCATACCTTGTCTCTGGAAAGTTATAGGTAGGCATCAGATTCTGTTGGGGAAGTTGTTTCCTATATGTAAATACATGTCTCCCACCCCATGAAAGTCAGTTGCATCAAATCAGCAATGCATGTGGAAGCCATGAACATTTGAACATTTTTCTGGCTTTCAGACGTGGGGGAAGAACAAAGACAGAGATGCCAACTTGACGCATTTTGTGATCTTTGTCAAAAGGAAAAAAGGAAAATGCCTGGAGTCCCGAATGGAAACATTTGCCACATGGAGCCAGAGCCACATGGGGGACACAGTGGACCTGAGCTGGAACGGACTGGGCGGTAAGTTCTGAGACCTGCTCCCTGGGTGCTGCTCGCTGGCAGCCGCTGCGTTAAGGAATGAGGCTTCCTTGTCTGTGGTTGGCTTTCAGGTGGGACCATCTACTGTACACATGATGGATGTGTCTAATACTGCATTCATTCATTCGTTCATTCATTCATTCAGGTTTGAAATGTTCTGTCTGTCCTCTGGTCCTTTCTAAACATTGTTTCTTCTGATGTGAGCACACGCTTCCACTTCCTCATTTCCTGGTGTCCCCACTTCTCTTTTATTTCTGCTTAGATGCTAGTTCATTTGGAAAGCTTTCTAGTATTCTCTGTGGCTGAAGTTAGGTCCTTCTACAGTATTGATCTTTAACTCCCTTTCTTACCTCGTCATAATTACAGACTATACCATATTTCAGTATTATTCCTTTTTCTGTTTGTTTGTTTGTTTTTTTTTTTGTGGGTGGGTGTGTATTTCCTGGTAGACCTTGACTAAAAAAAGTCAAATACTTCCCTGTTTTCCTGGCACTCGGCACAGTGCCCAGCGTGAGAGCAGACACACGACGTCTGATGAGCGAATGGATTCTTTTAGCATCATACCTCTGTGCAGCATGGCGTGGACAAGGTCTGAGTAAATGCTGGGTCATCGCTTCAGGATGAAAAACTCCCCGAGGGTAGGAGGATAGTTGTTATATTAGGTGTGTGTGTCTAAGGGAAACTCTACAATTCCAGGCCAGTGTTGTAAAGACGGGTGTCCTTTATGGTAAGTGACAGTAACTAGACCACAGACCAGGTAGGAAAGAGATAAAAGAGAATGACAATGGCATTGGTGCGGGAGAAGGCTGGACTGGGTCTAGACGTCGTGTTTCGTCTGCAGAGGAACCAGTGGGTGGGAGTCCTCAGGGCAGGACTCACTGTGGCGATCATTTTCATGTCATCTTCCTCTTTGTTTCTCTCCCTCTAGAAGCTCAGGTGTTTCTGTTTAATTTTTTTTTTAAAATATAGTACATGGCCTATTTTTCTACTCTTGGAAATTCATGGGGAAGTTAGGAAGGGGACAGAGAAATTGGGAGTGGGGATGGCCCTTACCCTGGCACTGTGCTGACAGGAGTACATTTTCTGGCAGGAAGGATGTGTTGAAGGTAACTGTTCTGGGATAACATTGGCAGGAAGGAGGAACCCTTGAACCAGGTGGCTGTTGCTAAAGGGAGCAGCCTACAAGAGAGTTGAACATTTTGTTTCAAGTTGAGAAAGAAGAGTGGGAAATGTATCTGGCAGCAGTGAGGGGAGCATCCGGAGAGAGGCTCCAAGGCTGTCCCGTAGGGGGCGGGGTCTGAGAGCACCTCAGAGTTACAGTGTATCTTTTTGATGTATAACTACGTCTGTACCCAGCTGTAGGTGAAGCAGTTGGATTGAGGCCCCACAGTTTTCTCAAACGCGTCTGTGCAGAAGTGACATTTCAGGTTTCCTCCAGTCCTGAGGAAAATAGAACATGAGAATCTTGTGTTTAAAATCAGTTCCCTGTGATGCTTTGGGCCACCGTTAGATTGTATTTCAACAGGTATAGGATCTTGGAAATAGTATCTGATTTTCCCATGGAAAACACCAGTGACAGGATCATCACACACTTCATCACAAACCCAATGATCTTAACTCACAAGTTCAAATAGGATTAGGAAGAGTTCTGCATGTTTCACACAAGGACTTCTGGGTGTGGCAATGCTTGACTCTCCTCTTCCTGAGCTAATGTCATCCTCAGACTACCTAAGGAAGGACAAGAGGGCCACAGCCTCCCTGTCACAGTAGCTTCTCAGGCCAGGAGACACCGCCTCTGTGAGAAATCACAGTTCCACGCCAGCTCTGGCCCCTAACCCACTTAAAGTTATATATAAAAGGTGAATGGGAACCCTGGACGTGTTAAGCATTTCTGGAACCTTCTGGACTGCATAATCACGAAAACGTGTCTAACCCTTCCCACCGTTTGTTGTATGGTTCCAAATGCAGATGTCTATTTATGCATAGTGTGTTGCAGGACCTCGAGCCAAATGCAGAGACTTAGGGATAGTTATTCATGTTGGGTGAAGAGAGTTGGGAGATCAGGCAGAGGGACTCGAGGAGCCTGAGGACAGTGGAACACACCCCTCTGCATTCTGTGTCTTCTGATCCTCTGAGCCAGGGTTAAGACCATGTTGTGGACCTTCCTGATGCCGACACAGGGGGGGATATCATGGAAGGAAGCAGGAAGTGTGACGAGACGCTTCCTCTGCAGCAGGGTCCTCTGGGAAGGGGTTTGGGGTAGATTTATATCCCTTATTTGGGATACAAATTTTTGGGAAGGGTTAATGAAAAAAGAATCCAGAGCTGCTGTCTCGATGATCCCCCACGCTTCAAACAGGTTTCTTTCAAAGCACACCAGACAAATGGATGGCTGGCCTGTCCCTAAAGCCCTCCAGGGAAGGGCTCCCTAAGTCAGTGTTCCAGAGCCTAGTGACCCTCTGCACTGGTAAGTCTGCTCTTGCATTGAGCTTAAATTCATCTCTGTGTGCCTCCTGCCCCCAACACTTGAACAGTAAGGGTGATGTCAGAGGGAAAGGAAGTTCCAAATATGAAGAGAAGCAGCTATATTATATCCGATCAATGTCTGCATTCTGTTCTGATTTTATGCATGTATGTCTAAAAGAAGTAATCAGTGCTGGGCAGTGGTGGCGCACGCCTTTAATCCCAGCACTCCGGAGGCAGAGGCAGGCCAATCTCTGAGTTCAAGGCCAGCCTGGTCAACAGAGCTAGTTTCAGGATAGCCAGAGCTGTGTAATAGAGAAATCTTATCTCAAAAAAAACTGAAGTAATCAGAAATTGTTCTAGTCATGCCGTTAGTGTGGCCCTGGTGTCTGCCTCTCCCTAGCAGTTCTGGACAGATACCTCTCTTTCATATAACTCGTGTGTTATTCGCCTTCATGAAGCCTCCTTGCCCAGAAGTGTGCTGGTCGATGGTGTAGCATCTCAAGGAGCCTCAGTGAGGTGCATGAGATTCTTTTCCCTTCAGATGGAGGTTGCTGGTGAGAGGTGATGGGCTCCTGGTGCAAGACGCTGTTGTAGGGAGGCCCCTGAAACACTTTTATAATGCCCAGATTAATTACTGCCACCGCAAAGGTTCCTGAGGGTCTGTCTGTACAGAAAGAGTAAGACAAAATGGCACTCTGTTTATAATCAGTCTTTGGTCCCAACCCCAAGGCTGACTTTCAGTGTGCTAGGCCGGATCCTGGAGAGAGCTCTTTTGCCTGAGCTGTTGGCTGTACATACCAATGCTAAAGCAGGTTCTGGGGTTGACTTTCTTATCACCTCCCAAGACCACAGGCAGATGGTGATGTTACTGGTATAGCTGGCAGCACAGCCAGAGGAAAACAGTGAGTGAGCAGTTCCACCCTCTGTCCCCTTCTGCACCCCAACCTCAGGCCAGTGCTGTGTAGAGCAGGCTTGCCTGGCTTGTCTCCTGGGTGCAGGTCCTGACCTCTTCCTAATTCCCTGGGCTCTTAGGAGAGGCCAGGGACAGCCACCCTGCCCTCCAGTGGAGAAGATGGGTCTGTTGTAGCTTTCTTACGGTCCCTAGCTGTCACCAACATTTGCCATTTTGTCCCATTTCCCCTCTCACTTGTTTTCCAGATTATTTAAAACTAAATCATTGATACCATTTTCCTGTAAGTACCTCAGTGTGTATCTCCTTTAATAAGGACATTTCAAAAGCAATTATGCCAATCTCAAGTCTGAAAAGATCAACCATCTCATTACTTGCTGATATAGGATCCAATCAAAGTTTTCATGTACTTGTAGCTTCCCTGTGGTGCTGAGGCCCGGCTTAGGAAATGACTCAGCTGGGAGCGGTGTTCCTCCTTGGTGTGTGTCCTGCTCTTCATTGGCCTCCTCGGGAGGGCTTAAGCTACAGTGGAGCCCTACTGATTCTCCCTCCTGAGTAGCCCTTGAATTTACCATTCCTCCTCTCAGCCCACACTCCCTTCCCGCGGCCACAGGCGGCCACAAGGCAACCACGGGGCGACGGTTCTAGAACGTTTGTTGGACGCTGCTCCACTGTTTAAATTCATTAGTAACTTGGCATGCTGTTAGGATTAGGCTCCATCTCCTCAAAACCATTCACATCCTCTGTGACTCAGTTTCTCCAACCTTATCTGTCAGTTTTTTGCCCTTGTGCTGTTGATCTCTGCTAGTGCCTTGAACCTAACGCATGTTCTCACCTGGGTGTCCCCATGCTGGTCCCTCTGCCTGGTCTGTCTGTCTCCCAGTCCTCCTTTGAGTCCCTGCTGATGTCATTCCCCACCCCCCACCCCCCACCCACGCCCCAGCCTGCGCTGCCATAGCGCGCATCGTCATTGCTGTTCCCTGCACTGGACTGGTGGTCTGGGAGGACAGGGCTGTGCTGGTCTTGCTCGCTGCTGCATCTCCAGTGCCTGGCCCGGTGCCTGGCACTCGTTCTCTTCTACTCGTCAAGGGCATGAGTCAGTCATGCAGAGACCGAGGCAGGGGCTGCTCGGAGTGGGGATGTGCATGCGTAAAGCTGTATGCCCGGAAAGCCTAAACAACACTGGTGATCTGAGCTGCTTTTGCTTTTCCTCTAACGGCTTAGAAATGGAAACTGATGCTAATATTTGCTTTCTTGTTAATTTTTTGAATATTTATAAGTGGGCAGTGTGCATACCTAAACTGACTTTTTAATGCTTGGTACACATTCCGTTTTCCCGTACGTCATCCCCTTGATTATAACAGAGTCTGTCTGTGCCAAAATGATGTGCTTGGGGTGAAGCTGAAGCTAAAACATTCCTGAGCACATGTGAAGTACTCTCTGGTGCGTTCTGCTTGTGCCCTTGTGGAAGAGGGACTGCGTTAGAGGCCTATCCACCCTGTCTCTGCAGGCTGTTTGGGGGCTTGGTGCTGGACATCAAGCGGAAGGCTCCCTGGTACTGGAGTGACTACCGGGACGCACTCAGCTTACAGTGTCTGGCCTCCTTTTTGTTCCTGTACTGTGCCTGCATGTCGCCTGTTATCACCTTTGGGGGACTGCTTGGAGAAGCCACTGAAGGACGGATAGTAAGAGCTTTCATCATTTCTAGTGGTCCAAATATTGTGACCCTGAGAGAGACATACGTGGATCCACTTAGGAAGGAGAAAAAGACAAGATCTCTGGAGTAAACTGGGAGCGTGGGGGATAGGGGAAGGATAGAAAGAGAGGGAGAGGGAAGAGGAGTGGAGAAAAAAACAATAATAAAAAATATTGTGGTGGCATCCAAGTTCTTTGGGGGCATCTTCCGTAGTCAGTGCTGAGGAGACTGGGTCCTGTGTCCTGAGTGACTGGGTTTTCTGACCTATGATGGAGGCCAGCTCTGCCTCCTGCACACACCCCTGGTTTCACTAACTGGTTCCCAGGAATGTAAATGGACCCACTGATAACATCTGAAAGCAAGATTCAGTGACTGTGATAGGGTGTTGTGGCCAACATTTGTGCTTTATATATCTTTAAATGCTGAACTGAGCTAAAGGATGAAACTCAGTTGAGGAATCATGGCAGATGGTTTGGTACCTGAATTATTAGAGTGGCATTGGTTTGCAAGAGCTCTGGGTTCTGTGTACCCCTCCCTCATGCGTAGAAGAAATACAAGCAATGACTGTCAAGGCGCGGAGCAGCTAAGTCAGTGTAGGTAAGGCAACTGTTCTCTGTGGACAGCTATGGACTCTGATTGTTTTTTCTCCTCCTCAGAGTGCAATTGAATCCTTGTTTGGAGCATCCATGACAGGGATCGCCTACTCCTTGTTTGCTGGGCAGCCCCTTACCATCTTGGGGAGCACTGGCCCTGTGCTCGTGTTCGAGAAGATTCTGTTCAAGTTCTGCAAGTAAGACATTGTTTTTCTGGAAGTTACTGGACGTGGCTGCCATCTGCCAATGCCGAGCACCAGCTCCTGTGCAGGTGCACAGCACACAAACCCGAGGGCCAGGCATCTCTGGCCTGCCGTCCTCCTGCAGCTCTGTAGCCACAGGCCTCCCTCTCTCCAGAGCCTGCCTGGTGACTCCTCACCATTACCAAAAGTCTTTACAGCTTTAGTCTCTTAAATTTATGAGTGTTTGAGATTTATTTATATTTATTCTATGTATGGAGGCATTTTGCCTGCATGTATGCCTGTTCACCATGTTGTGCAGTGCCTATGGAAATCAGAAGAGGATGTTGGATCCTCTGGAACTGGAGTTGCAAGTGGTTGTGAGCTACCCACTTGGGAGCTGGGAATCAAATCCAGGCCCTCTAGAATTGAAGCCAGTGTTCTTAACCATTAAACCATCTCTCCAGCTCTATTTATTTATTCTGAGCTAAGGTGTTTTTGTGTAGCCCGGGCTGGCCTTGCACTCAGATTCCTCTTACCATGACTCCCTGAGTGCTGGATCGCGGGCTGCATCACCATTGCCCAAGTGGACTTTTTGTCTGTTTGTTTGTTTGTTTGTTTGTTTGAGATACAAGGTTTCTCTGTAGCTTTGGAGCCTTTCCTGGAACTAGCTCTTGTAGACCAGGCTGGCCTTGAACTCACAGAGATCTGCCTGCCTCTGCCTCCCCGTGTTCTGGGATTAAAAGTGTGTGCTACCACCGCCCAGCATACTTTTTAATTTTTAAGAAAACCATCTTAACTGATTCTGACTCCCTCCCTTTTATGTTTTAGAATAATTTTAAATTGGGTCTACTGTTCTTTCTTCATCTTCTGTTTGTGGATGTGGTGGGCCTGACAGTGCTCTGGTTTCCACCCTGTAAGACCCTTTCCCCACATTGTATTAGAAGTAGAAACACACGGGACCTGACCAGCCCCGTCTTCCCATTCACGACCATGCTGATAATCAGTCACATTGGGTAGTAACGCAGAATGATTCATTGCAGACGCAGTGTTTTCTTCCTTCTCTTTTCTGTGCCTTTGCCCGGCAAACAGCTCCAGTGAAGATGTTGAACATGTTGTCCTAGGGCTTTACTGCTGCGTGCAGAACTTGCAGCCTTAGGGACAAAGGGTTGCAGTGCTGGTGTGGATAAGCTGAGCCAGCCCTTTGTCTCTCGGTGCCTCCCTTCCGTGTTCTTCACGAGCTCCGGTGTTTTGCAGGGACTATGCCCTTTCGTACCTCTCCCTGCGAGCCTGTATCGGGCTGTGGACTGCCTTCCTGTGTATTGTTCTTGTGGCCACTGACGCCAGTTCCCTCGTCTGCTACATCACCCGCTTCACCGAAGAAGCATTTGCCTCCCTGATTTGCATTATTTTCATCTATGAAGCAATAGAAAAGCTGATTCACCTGGCAGAGACCTACCCCATCCACATGCACAGCCAGCTGGACCACCTTAGCCTCTATTAGTAAGTATGCATCCTGCCTTTCTTCATTCCCCGCCCCCGACTTACAGAATTGGGAACTTTCTCTTTACCAAGAAATGGTAATCAAGTAATTTACACTGCTACATATTTATCATTGTAATGCATGCGTTTAAATATTAATGTATCTTGATCATGTTCACCCCAATTACTTTTCTTCATATTCCTCCACCCTGTCACCTTCCACTGATCTTTTTCTTCTGTCCAAACCAGTCCTCCTTCTCCTTTCATGTGTTCATGTGTAAGTGTGTGTGTGAGTATATGCATGCGTGCATAAGTGTGTGTGTGTGTGTGTGTGTGTGTGTGTGTGAGAGAGAGAGAGAGAGAGAGAGGGAGAAGGAGAGGGAGAGAGTGAGAGACCCACTGAGTTTGATTGGGGTTGCTCACATGAACATGGGTTACTGACAAGGAAACAGACCTTTTGCCAATGGTTAGGCCACTGAAGAAATTGTCGTCCTTTTTTTCTAGCAGCCTGCCACTTTGTTTGGCATAGAGTCTCTGTTGTTTGCCACTCTGTTCCCAGCCAGCTGACCTGCAGGCTCCAGGTCCTCTGTCTCCACGTTATCTTCGTCGTAGATGTGAGGATTGCAGCTGCACACAGCATTCCTAGGTGTCTGGATCTAGAGGTTTAAACTTGGGCTCTCATGCTTGTATAGCAAGCAAGCACTTTGCCCACTCGGCTACCTTCCCAGCCTTGAGACTGATTTTCCTTTCAATCAAAATGTAGTTTTGAGACTTCTTTCTGCTGAGATCTGAATTTTAATTCTGTTATAAAAGGCATGGTTTCTAAAAGCACAGGTGAAGCAATGGTGGTGAGAACGGCAGTCAGTTGGCCATACTGATGCAAGGCATGTTGAGGCTGGGAGGCAGCGTGGGAGCCTGCAGGACACTGTGCCTAACCTGGATGGATGAGAGAGGAGGGAGGGAACACTGGAGCAGCCAGGCCTGGCTCAGCTGGAGCAAGCAGGAAATACTGGGTATGGGAGACACACTCCAGGAGGAGCTGATGTTTGCACAGAAGCATGGGGTCCAACCCTCGCTGTGCAGATTGATTCACAGCAAGAACTTAAGAGATAGAAACTAAACAAGGAACCTCCCTGGCTTATTATGGGCATATCGCATGGCCGGCACAGATTGTCCATACCATTTTATCCAAGGCTTACATGCTGACTGAGTGGAACACACCTTTAGTCATGACCAACTGAAAATCGGTGTGTGGTTGTGTTGATAAATTGTCTTCAACCAATAGGACCCATCTTCGAGATCTGAAGTGTATGAGAAATAGAGATATAACTCTGACAGAGACTTTAACCTAGGCACAGCCAAGAGCACTTAGTAACTAGCGGGCAGCTTCCATTAGGGCTGTTTTCATCTTTCCCTAGCTGCAGGTGCACACTCCCGGAGAATCCAAACAACCATACTTTACGGTACTGGAAGGACCACAACATCGTGACCACAGAAGTGAACTGGGCGAACCTGACTGTCAGTGTAAGTCTGGGGCTGGGCAGGTCCTCTGTTGTGACCACCGGGTCTATAAAGGACTTCTAGATTGAGGTAGAGCAACCCTTTGCCGGAACCTGGCATTTAAGCTTAATCCGGGTTCAGTGACATTCAACTGTAACCTTGGGAGCCCGAGGTAGGGACACTGTAAGTTTAAGGCCATTAGGGCTGTGCAGAGAGACCCATCTGGGGGCTTAAGAAGAACCATTTTGATCATATAAGCTGTAACTGTGTGGGGGCGCATTGATTAGCTCTGTTTCATCATATTGATATACTTAGAGATCTCTTTTTCTTTATCATGCTAAAATTGATACGTTTTATTTATTTATTAATCTCTGTAGCATCCTTGGAGGGACAGTTGGCTGGTACACATTCTGCCACATGAACTCAAGAGTCACCTCTTGTGTTTATTTTTGAAAACTGCCTTGGGATTTGTAAGAATTTATAAGATATACTTGGAAGAAAAACTGGTCTATTATTGTGACAGTGTTTGCCCCTCCAGTGACATAGGTTTCCCTAAGATTTTTAAGATGACTTTTATACTCTGAACTGTTGCATTTACCATTAGTGCGTGCTCATTTCTTACCAGATTCTCTCTGTGACATTTAGAAAATTTGCTACTAATGGCAGTGGTAGCTTTATTTCATTTCTTTGTTTTATACAAGCATGATGGCTGATTTTCATTAAAAAAAAAAACTCACAAAAATGAATGAAAACATAGGGACAAGGACAGGTCCAGGCTCTGTGTAGCTGGAAGAATATTCAAGTTTCAAAGGTTATCTAATGAGAATAATACCACCTAAGTTCTTCCCAGAGCCTCAGAAGTGTTTGTTCTAGGCAGTTTTAACTTCATGCCTAAGTGTGTTGGTTAGGACCACCCAGTGTTCTTGACAGGGACCTGCCAGTGAGGGCCCTAACTGCATGGTGGTCATGTGGCCAGTGCTGGTGGCCTGTGCTTGCCTGCAGCTGTGGGATGGCAGTGCATGGTGAGCTGGGAAGGTAGCAGCTGTTTGTCCCCATGTGCCAGCCGTTTTGTAACCCGGAATTCTTGTTCCTCCAGGAATGCCAGGAGATGCACGGAGAGTTCATGGGCTCGGCGTGTGCCCATCATGGACCCTACACTCCCGATGTGCTCTTTTGGTCCTGTATTCTCTTCTTCACCACCTTCATCCTCTCAAGCACCTTAAAGACATTTAAGACGAGCCGCTATTTCCCGACCAGAGTAGGTAGCTGCTAAGACGTTGCTTTTGTGATAGGATTCTAATTACAGAACTGCTGACTCTCAGCCCCATGCTGCGGTGGAGATTGGCAGCATGGGGGGTACCAGCTTTCCTGATAAGCTGCACTGGGGCAGGGTTTTTCCAGTGCGTGGCAGCCTCCTTCACAGCTCCATGGTGTGGAGTGAGGATGCCTAAAACCTTTCTGATTGAAAAGGACCAGGTAGGTTGAAGGTGGTGGTACTGTCCCCTAAAGGTTCTGTCTCGGTTCCAGAAGGCTGTTAGTGTCTGGGATTCTGAGACACATGGGATATAAAACTAGAGCATGCATGTTGGAGAGATTGGCTTATGTTCTGTAAAGGACCCAGAAGCCCCTTCCTAGGCATGGTTCCTGCCATAGGTTACAAACTCTGTGACTGCAGGAACCAGCCCGTCTTTGTCTTGGATTCCTTCCCTGACCATCTGAAGCCTCAAGAGCCATTGTTCATGTCCCAGGCAGGATTTCTGCTGGTTCAGGCAGAACAGAGCTAGAAGCCCGAGTTTGAACAGCCGTGTGAGCCATGGCTTCAGCCAGTCCACCGTTTAGGCACATCCACATACTAGAGTTGGGGGGGGGGGCCTCGGTTGGTTGTTTACCATATATACATCCATGATTAAAGCCCATTCACAGGCCTTAGGTGAGTTTGCAGAGTAGCTGAGGGAAGCAGCACATTAATAAGTTCACAGTCTGTTTCCTATCTGGACAAATAGTTGACAAGTGGCTGCTAGATGCTGACCAGTTGCCAAGCCTGGGAAAGTGTGGGGTGGTCAAGATCTGAGTCCTCAGAGAATGTATAGAACAGTGAGGGATGAACAAAACCATGGAGAGAGTGCTTCAGATCTGAGGCCTCAGAGAAAAGGGACATTAGTAGTGATGCTGTGTGTGCCAAGATGTCTTTACCTCCTCTCTGTGGGGAGCTGAGACCAGGGTGCTTGTCCCTGTCATCTAAGCTCTAAAATGGGGTGATCCTCTTGGGTCAGGCCTTAAAATGAATGGGAATAGATGCGCACCACACACAAGCACACATACAATACACACATAAACACACAGCACACACATGCACACACATGTATACACTACTAAATGCACACATCACACACAAATACACACATACCACACACACATAAATGCATACATATCACAAACATGCACATACACCACACATGCATATGTACACACAATACATGTGCAGGTGTACACACACTACACACACAGACACAAACAAGAAATAAGCTTTCTTGGAAAAAATGAAAGAGGAAAGAAGTCATGGGGGCGGGCAATGGCGAGTTTTCAGAGGGACCATAAGGCTGTCAGCAGTGCTGAGAGGACTCTGTCCAACAAAGCTCTAGCCTGAGGAATTTGAGTTAAAGCCAGTCCTTGACTACACCACAGAAAAGAATTTCAGATGAGCTGGCGTGAACAAGATTGGTGAGTTTATTTAAAGTATTTAGACATGGCCATGTAGGGCAAGGACAATACACACTGAGGACAGGCCGATGCCCTTAATAACGTGCAGAGTCACACTTAGGTGCCGTTAGTGGCGTATAATAAGTTACTGTACTCACGGTGTAATTCACAGCAAGGTTTGAGGATTGAAACTTAAAAATTAAGTAAAAACTTATTAGGCCTCTGAGAGATAGCTCCATTAGTAAAGTGCTTGCCTTGTAAACATGAGACCATGGTGGTAAAAAACAGGAACTCAGGTAAAAAGGCCCGGTGTCATGGTGCACACTTATGATTCTAGTTATAGGGAGGTGTAGACGGGTCCCTGGGGCTTGCTGGCGACCACTCTAGCCTAACTGGTGGGCTCCAGGCTCCCTGTGTCAGAGCGGGTGCTTCTAAAGGGTGCCCAAGGGTGACCTGTGGTTCTCCACATACATGTGCACATATATGCACATGTACCCGCATGTGAGTTCATAAACAAAACAACAATAAGCTGGTTTACTTAAAAATTCTCCGAAAGTATTGTCTTTTGTATGAGATTGTGAGGTTGTGCCCTGTGGTGCACTGTTTAGATGTAGGGCCAAGCGGGAAGTGCTGATGTAGTTGACACCCCAGCCTGCAGACATTCAGGCCCTCTTGTCTTTTTTTTTTTAAATTTTTTTCTTATTTATTTATTTATTTATTTATTTATTTATTTATTTATTTAGTCTGTGTGTATACCTGCAGGCCAGAAGAGGGCACCAGACCCCATTACAGATGGTTGTGAGCCACCATGTGGTTGCTGGGAATTGAACTCAGGACCTTTGGAAGAGCAGGCAATGCTCTTAACCTCTGAGCCATCTCTCCAGCCCAGGGCCCTCTTGTCTTCACGGCTTCAGGAACACCAGCACTCTCTGCAGGCGGATTCCAGAGTGGGCGTATCTCTCCCTTCCAGTGTTCCCTTAGGGTCCCTGTCTTTTTCTCCTGTCTCAAGAAAAAAAAGAGTGTGTTTGAGTTAAACTGCAGGGGACTTGAGTTCGCAGAGGTCACTGCAGAAGCCTAGTCAGGACAAGATGCCGAGGGGGAGCGAGCTGGGCTGGCGTCAGAGCCGGCATGAGAGCCGAACACTAAAGGGAGGAGGCTAGAGCGGCATGAACAGATGGGACAGCACTGGAGGCTCCATGAACCTCACAAGGAGGAGAGCATTTGGGGTTTTGAACTTGGTGAGGCCTCTTGGGGTTTTGGTAGACAGAAATGACCCAACCTAGTTTCCCAAGGTAAACTACCTTACTCCAGAAGCTGTGTTTCAGGAACACTGGAGGGCAAAGGTGAAGCAGTTACCCAACTGAGAGATGGCAGGGTCTTTGGCTGAGTGTGGGCACAGCTGGGGTGACAAGTCATGCTCAGGTTCTGGGCATGTTCTGAATATTGGCTGATAGGCCCCGTGGATGGAGTGGATCCAGGATTTGGGGAGGACGTTAAGGTGTTGCTGCTAAGACAACCTCGGCCGGACCGGTGCACCCCAGTCGGGGCTCTCTAGAGACTGGTCTCGATACATTAGACGTGGTCAGAGGTTTGTTGCTCCATATTAAACACACACACGTGTGCATCACTGAGTATACTAAAATAGTCTTGATTAACTAGTTTGTGTAGTTCAGCTGCTAAGTATTTTCTGAGGAACAGTAGCTCTTGAGGTGCTAACTTCTCTGCTCTGATTCTTTCTCACGCCAGGCACGCTCCATGGTGAGCGACTTTGCCGTCTTCCTCACCATCTTCACAATGGTGATCATCGACTTCTTGATTGGAGTTCCATCGCCAAAGCTTCAGGTTCCCAGTGTGTTCAAGGTGCGTAGATCCTGAGTGTAGATGGGTCTGAAGTTGAGCTCAGAGGTCCAGTAGGCAAAAGGTAATGTGTGTTGTTATGAATACCTGCCCTGCTAAGCTTTAGTTGAATGGAAAATGCCATTTCCATAAAGATGTGCTGGTGGAGAGGTGGCCCCAGGAGCACTTGGGTGATGCTCACAGAGCTCCAGCTTTAAGGAACTGGGAAGGAGGAAAAATGACCTAAGACCTAAGAAGATCTTGTTTGGAGTCCAGGGCTCCTGCTGAGCCATCAGGACATCTCTTCAACCATATTTTACGTTTGTTTATTTATAATCCATAGCAGTTTAACAGCTCATATGCAAACCGAAATTCTGCTGATTCAATTGGATCCCAACTCTATTTCAGTGCAAGGGTTATAAGCAGACGAGACTGGAGAGCCGAGCTTAGTTAACTCCACAGACCCTCATTGGGTGGAGAAGGCAGAGAGCCTGGATATGTTCAGCTTCTTCAGAAAACTCCAGAGCAGGAGGGGCTGAGGATGGCAGGAAGACAGACGGTAGTAGAGGCGGTTCTCGAGGCTCCACAGCGAACTCCTTAATCCCAGCATTCAGGAGGCAGAGGCAGGCAGGTCTCTGTGAATTTGAGGCCAGCCTGGTCTATAGAGCAAGTTCCAGGACAGGGACACTCCATAGTGAGCGACTTTGCCCTCTGCCTCTCTATAAGAACTCTTTCTCTCTCCTTCTCTTTTGTTTGTTTAATTTTGGTAAACTTGTTAAAATGCTGAAAGGGTTAAGAAACACCTCCAAGGGCCTGGTGTTCTTATCCCTGTGTGAATGGTCACTATCAGCTTTGTCTCTAATACCTAGCTGGCTACAGGACAAATAGATTTTGTATAAAAGCAGGCAAATTTGGAGCATTAAGCAGTCCTTGGGGAAGTTCCATGGTGCACAGGCTTAAGACCTGAGTTGATTTCTAGGACCTCTGGGAGGCAGGAGAAGATCCGAGGAAATGTGGCTGGTGCAGACGGCTTAGGAAGCAGAGAAGAAGCAGTCTCCTGCCTTCTCTCCTTACGTAGCCAGCCCCAGCTCCCAAGGCCGGGCTGAAGGCTGGCATAGTCACTTCTTATCCACTGGGGACTAGTTCTGTGCTCCGTTCTAGAAAGGAAACGCTGTATTTGCAGACAGCCTGTGTGCAAGCACCTCGGTTCTTCCAGCATCTCTAGACCGCTCTTAGCTACAGCAGTTGCGTGCTGTTACCCTGCAGTGTAACCCAGAGGTGCCTCCCCAGCATCTCTAATCTGCAGCTGATGGAGTCGACAGAGATAGCAGGCCCAGCTGAGCGACCACCTATAATATCATTAAAGCATTAGCAAGCTTCCGTGGTGGCCTAAGAACTTAACTACTACCTATGCCTACATAGTCTTACTATGGAAACAGAGGTTGTAAAGTTTTAGAATTATTTAACTGATTCAAAATCCAGGACTTCCCAGCATTACTGAAGAGTTCTTTAATCCAAGTGTCGTAACTAATGTAGCAGCCAAATGCTCCAGATATAGCGATCTCTCTTGTATTTGCTGAGTTTGGGGTCATTCTGGGTAAGAGACTTTTCTCCTCCAGTACCATTTGTCTTTTCTTGGTGTGCACCAAGGGTGGGGCTCAGAGTTTGAACAAATGCTTAGAAAGCCATTGAAGAGGGTCCTAGGTCAGACACCCCCAAGCTCTGGGACTCTTAAGTCTCCAGTTCCTGGGCTCCTTTTTACCTCTGCTGAGGGCTGATGGATAAGAATCTGAGGGACTGGGGTCCACGTGGCTGTGGTTTGAACTTCAGACAGTCCTGGGCTCCTGAGAGGAGTGGTGAGAATCATCCACATTACAGACATTTGTCTCGAGAAGTCTTTTCTTTTTAAAGAACAGATTTAGTTACTAATAAATGTACTTGGACTGACATTGAGATAAAGCTGCTTTCTCTGCACTTGGGGACTTGGGGAATAAATAGAAGGCCATGTAGGATTAAGGAATATTCCACAGGAAGCTGTTAAGTGATGATTGATTGCTGAGGGGGATTTGGGGAAAAAGGCCAGAGATTTCCTCAGGGGTTGCTGTATTTCATGTTTTGTTTTGTTTTTCTAAGGATTTTCATTCAAATGAGAACAAAAAGAAGAGTAGACTAATGATTAAGCTTGGTTTGTTTTGCTCGAATCTCCAGAGTTAAGATGCAAAAATCCAGCTTGTTTTTAATCTCTTAGCCAACACGGGATGACCGAGGATGGTTTGTTAGTCCCATCGGCCCTAACCCCTGGTGGACCGTGATAGCTGCAGTTATCCCGGCGCTCCTGTGCACTATCCTGATATTCATGGACCAGCAGATCACCGCTGTCATCATTAACAGGAAGGAGCATAAGCTCAAGGTAACCAGAGCTTCCAGTCTGGACGGCTGAGATGGCAGCTTCTTAACGTTTGTATTTTAGGATAGGCCTGGCTCTACCAGGAACTGAACCGAATAAAGTCTCAGAAGGGCTTTTCATTGCTGGAGGTGAGAACAGTGGTCCCCGAGATGTGGTGTGGGAGGAGTGTGGACTCAGTACTCCCCTCTCAGACTGTGTAGAGATGGGTGGCCCGAGGTCCTGCTGGTCCTAAATAGCTACACGTTCTGAATCAACAACCAAACAGCTTTTCCAGGAGCAGGATTTCTCCCGCTGAGATCCAGCGTGAGGCTTTAGGGTGAATCTTGAGTTTAGAATTACAGACTAAGGTTAGCTCTCACTGAAGGTGCCTGTTTCCCCACAGAAAGGCTGTGGCTACCATCTGGACCTGCTGATGGTAGCCGTCATGCTGGGCGTCTGCTCCATCATGGGGCTGCCTTGGTTTGTGGCTGCGACTGTCCTGTCCATCACACATGTGAACAGCCTCAAGCTGGAGTCTGAGTGTTCTGCTCCTGGGGAACAGCCCAAGTTCCTGGGCATCCGAGAGCAGAGAGTTACAGGCCTTATGATCTTCGTGCTGATGGGCTGCTCTGTCTTCATGACGGCTGTCTTAAAGGTAATCAGTCATTAAGGGTCTTTGTGCCAGGAACCCTACTGGGGATGCAGTGGCTCCGATATATAAATATGCAGATCCCTGCCCCGGAAGAGTTCATCCTTGTGAGTAAGGCCATTAAATGTGCTTAAGAAAACAAACATGGTAATTATAAAATGTAATAAGTCATCTGATGGACCACTGTCTTGCCATTTTTTTTTTTCTTTTTTGAATAGGTCCCTTCATGTTGGAGGACCAACCCAGGGCCTCTGCATGCAAAGCAAACACTGTGTTGCTGAGCCTTGTCCCAGCCCTTCTTACTCCTGGGATTTTTTTTTTTTTTTGATACAGGTCTTATATGGCCCTGGCTGGCTAAAACTCACTATGTAGACTAGGCTGGCCTTGAACTTGTGGCAGTTGTCCCGCCTCTGCCTCTTGATTGACAGGATTGTAGATATTATTCTAGTATGTTTTTTTACTGCTATGATAAAGACAATGACCAAAAACCACTTGGGGAGGAAAGGGTTTATTTCACCTTGTACTTCTAGGTAACCGTCCATCATGAAGGAAAGGCAGGGTGGAACTGAAGTAGAAACAGTGTGGCATATTGGCTCATACGCTGGACCATGCCCAGCTGACCTTCTTATACAATCCGGGCCCATTTGCCTAGGGATGCTGCTGCCCACAGTGGGCTCCACAGTAATCATTAACCAAGACATGCCCACAGGCTGTTCTTTACTGACATTTCCTCTTTCCAGGTGACTCTTAAGTTATATCGGGTTGGTAATAGACTCACCGGCACAGACAACCGTCCAGCAGTGCTGCAGACTCGTCAGCAGACCAGGATGTCACTCTAGAGTGGGGCAACACGAGAATCCAGTGTGGACTCTAACCCTGGGAGGAGTCGAGTTGTTCTTTAGCCCAGGATAAAAGCAAACCAGGAGACTAGGCATACAGGATGCTGGGCAGTGGCTCCAGGCTTAGCACTGCAGAAGCCAGGCAGGGTGGGGACGTGGTAGAGGTAGGAAAATCATGTTTAAGACCTTCCTTCTGTGCACAGCAAATTCAAGGCCAACTGTGTGGAAGCTGAAAGACATGATGTGACAGGAAAGCCACGTAAAAACCCAGCATGACAACATGTTCTCCGCTAGTTTCCTCTCTGCTGCCCTCAAGTCTCTAGGTCAATAAAAATGAATTTTTTATAGTTTGTGGCAAAATACATTAAGTTCCTGAGGAGGTACCTGACAATGAATATGGAAGATTTAAATCACAACAGTGATGTATGTGTTTGCATTTGACCACACATGTGTATGTGCATGCACAAGTGTGTGTACATGAGCACAATGTGTACGTACGTGTATACATGTGTTTGCACATGTGTGTGCACATGACCACAAGTGTGTGCATGTATGTGTATGTATATATGTGTGCACATGACCATGAGTGTGTACATGAGCACAATGTGTACGTGTATACATGTGTGTGCACATGTGTATACATGTATGCTTGCACATGATGAGTGTTTGTGAATGTGTGTGCACATTACCACAAATGTGTGTACATGAGTGTGTGCATGATCATGAGTGTGTACACATGACCAAAAGTGTGTACATTTGTGTGTGCACATGACCGTAACTGTGTAGCTATCCCATCTGTTTTCTCATATTGAGGAAGGAGGATGGCTGGCAGAGGGAGAAGCTGGAGGAGACACAAGGTCCATGTTACATATGGGTAGCAATTTCATTTCAAAATAAAAAGATTTTGATCATCATTGACTTATCCTTTTGTTTCCACTTTAATGGAAGGAGAGATTTATGAAATTGTCTGTGGCTTGCTTTTATGTTCAGAGTTTAAAATGTATATAGATGTACACGGTATCACAGGCCTTTAACCCAGCACTCTGGAGGCAAAGATGGGCAGGTGTCTATGAGTTCAAGGCAAGCCTGGTCTACATATTGAGTTCCATGCCAGCTAAGGCCACACAGTAAGACCCTGTCTCAAAAAATTAAATAAGATTTGACGGCTTTAAGTCCTGCTGGTGCCCTACATTTCCTGTCTTGCTCCCTTGTCTGCAGTTTATCCCGATGCCAGTGCTTTATGGAGTTTTCCTCTACATGGGAGTCTCTTCTCTGCACGGAATCCAGGTACTGTGTGGTTCAGCTGGGCCATGGCTCTTACTATATTCACTTGTCCCGACCAGAGAGGCACAATTCCCCAAGAGAGGCACAGCCGGTTCCTGAGACATTACTTCTTGTCTTGCCATTTGGCTAAGAAATGTCTTCAGATATGGAGTACGAAGTACGGTCATGCCGGTGTGAGAGGACTGTCTGCCAGGAGAACACGACTTGATGTCACAGTCATGTTGTGATTATTTGGCATTAAACCAGGGATACTTTGTCAAATTCCTGTAGACCAGGACCTGAAACATTAGTCAAGAACCAAAGACTCACCAAGATGGCTCAGCAGGAAAGGACTTGCTACCAAGCCCTTAAGATGCTTACTACTAAGCCCAGAAGGCACTTGCTACCAAGCCTGACGAATCTGAGTTCCATCCTTGGAACCTGTGGTTGAAGAAGAGAACCGTGCATGGTGGTGGAGTGTGTGTGTGTTTGTGGGTGATACGTGTGGGTGCACATGCTACAGCAGGCATGTTGTAGTCAAAGGACACTTTGTGGAGCTGTTTCTCTCCTTCCACCTTCATATGGATCCCATGATTTGAACTCAAGTCGTCAGGCTTACACACCAGCCCTTCTCCTGGACCATCTCTCTAGCCTCAGAACATCATCCTCGATCCAGAATTTTGAGAGGTCTTTTTTGATCTTGTAAATCAGGAGCTTCAAACCTTTCAAAGAACAAGCAAGAGAGCTGGGTTTGGGAACTTAGGGATTTGTGGGGAGAGGATTTCTTCATTGAAACAGTGTCCTATTCTGTAGCTCAGTTCAACTGGGGACCCACAGTGTAGCCTAGACTGGCTTCAAACTCTTGGCCAAACTTTTGACCCAGCCTGTCTGTGTAGCCATGCCTGGGTGGAGTTGGTTTTGATAGTACGCTCAAAGATGCAGTTGGCTCTGGTCACCCACCTGGGAATGCTCTCTGCAACTGCAGTGTGTGTATTGGGCGGGGGCTGCACCTGGAACTAGAAAAGGTGGTTTTTCATCTTGACTGCCACTTCCAGGCCTTGGCCAAATCTGTTGTCTCAGAGACCGAGTTTCCTTTCTCTCCGGGAGAAACGGCCCCAGCTGCTGTGCGCAGCAGGTGGTGGGGGCTACTGTGGGCTTGAGGTTCCTGACCAGGGACCTCCAGAGCCAGTGTGTCTTCTTCCTTCCAGTTCTTTGATCGTCTGAAGCTTTTTGGGATGCCTGCAAAACACCAGCCAGATTTCATCTACCTGCGGCACGTGCCCCTGCGGAAAGTCCATCTCTTCACCCTCATCCAGCTCACCTGCCTCGTCCTGCTCTGGGTAATCAAGGCATCGCCAGCTGCCATTGTTTTCCCGATGATGGTAAGGGTTCTCCCCCCCCCCCCATGTGGTTTCTCTCTGTAGCCCAGGATGTCCTAGAACTCACTCTGTAGATCAGACTGGCCTAGAACTCAGAGATCTGCCTATCTCTGCCTCCTGAGTGCTGGGATTAAGGTATGTGGCCTGGTTACTGAGTGAAGGTTGTTTTAATAAAAAATATCAATGTTATTTTTTGAAGCAGTGGTTAAAAAAATGTATACCATAAAGTTTCTGTGTTCACCATTTATTTATTTATTTATTTGGATTTTCAAGACAAGATTCCTCTAAGTAGCCCTGGCTGTCCTGGAACTCAGAGACCCACCTGCCCCTCCCTCCAGAGTGCTGGGATTAGAGGCGTGCTCCATCATTACCCAGCGTGTATTCACCACTTTTAAGGGTATGGGTCAGGGGGATTAAGAACATTGTTGAGGTACCAACATCACTATCCATGTCTAGACCCTTATTGCAAAACAGAGACTTCGGGCTGTCACCCCTCATTCTCCTTTTCTGCAAATGTGGAGGCACCCACAGTGCTGCTGTCTGTCTCTGTGACTTCTGCTACCTTAGCTACTCATGTGGCGTTCACCCCTCATTCTCCTTTTCTGCAAATGTGGAGGCACCCACAGTGCTGCTGTCTGTCTCTGTGACTCCTGCTACCTTAGCTACTCATGTGGCATTCACCCCTCATTCTCCTTTTCTGCAAATGTGGAGGCACCCACAGTGCTGCTGTCTGTCTCTGTGACTCCTGCTACCTTAGCTACTCATGTGGCGTTGCCTTACTTCCCTGCTGTTCATGTCTCATGGGTTAGAATTTGCTTAAGTTTGAATAATGGAGGCTCAGTTCATTATTGTTGTAGATTAAATGTCAGTTCCTGGTAAACTGATTCCTTCTCTGACCTCCATGGCACCAGGCATTCACATAGTACGCATGCATGTATAGTTACATAGTCCACACACATACATAGATACACAGTGCATGTGCATATATAGATACATAGTACACGTGCATACATAGTTACATAGTTCACACACATACATAGATACATAGTACACGTGCATACATAGATGCATAGTACACACACATACATAGATACACAGTGCATGTGCATATAAAGATACATAGTACACGTGCATACATTGATGATAGTACACACACATACATAGATAAAGAGTACACGTGCATATATAGATGCATAGTACACACACATACATAGATACACAGTGCATGTGCATATATAGATACATAGTACACATGAATATATTGATACATAGTACACATGCATACATAGATACATAGTACACATAAATATATAGATGCATGGTAGACATACATACATAGTACACGTGCATACATAAACACATAGTACACATAACAATATATATCTTAAAAATATATAAAAATTTAAAAGTAAATAATGTCAAAAGCCTCATGCTGGGTGCCAGTGGCCCACAGTAAGTGCAGTTCTGCTTGAGATGTCCTCGCCTGCTGTGGAAGTCGTTTTGCTTGACTTCCTCAGGAGAGGCTCCCCTTTACCACCTTCCCTTCTCGTCAGGTCCTGGCCTTGGTCTTCGTCAGGAAAGTCATGGATCTCTGCTTCTCCAAGCGTGAGCTGAGCTGGCTGGATGACCTCATGCCTGAAAGCAAAAAGAAGAAGCTAGATGACGCGAAGAAGAAGGCTAAGGAGGAGGAGGTAGAGCCTTGCTGTGCTCCAGCCTTGTTTCAGGGTCTCGACTCCCAGAGTGGAAAGAGGGAGGAAGGACGGTGTGTGAGGATACCTTGTCTGAGATCCTGAAAGTAACACTGAGGGGCTGAATGTTACTTCAGCTGCGGAAGGGTTAAGGGGTTCTGGCCCTGTGTTTCCTTGATGTTTTGAAGTTGGTAACTAGGCATTTCCTCCTTTGATTTTACCCCAGGATCAAACTAGCATATAAACATATACTCTATTGAGAGTCTCAGATCCAGTGGCTCCTTTGCTTCCAGAAGATCTGATTTGACACGTACATAAACCCATTATTTCTGAGAGTATTGGTTATGCATCTAATTGCAGATGGTGCAAATGCAGCTTGTGAGGGACTTTCTGTCTTCATCGCCCTCAGCAGTTGGCACCTTGCCATCTTACACAGTGGACCATGAGCCATGGCCTGAACATGCACAGAAAGGATGTGTAGCAAGACTAAGAAATGAAAGGCCTGGGCGTGTCTCAGCACAGTTGCTGCCCCGAATAGTGTCCTTTCATCTGTCTGTCTATCTACCTACCTACCTACCTACCTACCTACCTACCTATCCATTCATCTATCTATCTATCTATCTATACACATACACATACGTACATATTTTCCTGCTGCATGCTCTGGCCTAGTCAGACCCTGTCACTCAGCAGACACTGCTATCTTTTTAAACTATATTTTAAAATAAAATTTCCTAATGTCTAATGTCTTGAATTTTTTAAATCTTATATTATTAAATGAACTAAAATTTTAAATATGAAAGCAATGTTGTGCTGCAATCTCTGTCTGGGAATATTCTTTTCCACCTATCAAATGACAGCAGTGCTTAAGAGGGTAGAACTAGCCCTTCAACACTGTGGTTGGGATGGGCCACACATATACTGAGTGCCAGTATGAACTGGAGACATATATACTTATGCCAGGAATGGAGATAGGGCTCACGGCTGATAAGCACTGACTGCTCTTCCAGAGGATCCAGGTTTGGTTCCCAGCACCCATGTGGCCGCTTACCCATCTGTAACTCCAGTTCCAGGGGACACAATACCCCATTCTGGCCTCCTCGGGCACCAGGCAACCACATGATGTAAATATGTACATGTAGACAAAATACCACCCCAACATGACATACACACAACCGTGTTTGTGCACAAGTGCACACATGAGCACACACACAAATACATACTAAGTTAGGTGCTGCAGCATATACGTACATTCCCAACACTCGGGAGGTGAGGCAGGGGGCGGCTTGAACCTGGGAGTTCAGTCTGATTAACATGTTTTCCTGCATCAGAAAGAAAAATGTTTGTGCATTTGATCCAGGAACACTAATTTTCCTTCCTTCCTTCCTTCCTTCCTTCCTTCCTTCCTTCCTTCCTTCCTTCCTTCCTTCCTTCCTTCTTGTGGTTTTTCAAGACAGGATTTCTCTATATATCTCTGGCTGTCCTGGAGCTCACTCTGTAGACCAGGCTGGCCTCAAACTCATAGGGATCCGCCTGCCTCTGAATCCTGAGTTCTGGGATTAAAGGTGTGTGACACCACCGCCATGCTTAAGTTTTATTATTGTTATGGTCTAAACATGTTTTTACCTCTATAATTATTCCTTTTTTAAGAAGTCATTTTTTTTTTATTTTTCTAGTAAGATAGGATCTCACTATGTAACCCAGGCTATCCTCAAACTCCAAATCTTTTTGTGTTGTCATAATTTTTTAAGAAAATATTTTAATATGAAACATTTTAAGTATATGTAAAAATAAGAAAACTCTTTCCCTAATTTCCTTATTACTGGTGTGCGTGTGCATGTGTGTGTGTGTGTGTGTTTCTGCATGTGGAGGCCAGAGGTTAACGTCTGATATCTCACTTGATTGCTTCCCTCCCTGTTTGGAGAACTACTGTCTCTGGCTGAATCTGGAGCTCATGCTTGTGCTGGTCAGCTGACCACCAAACCTGCCTGACTCTCCTCCCAAGAGCCAGGGTTACAGGGATGCTGGCGTGCTTGGCTTTGTATGTGGGGCCTGCTAATTTGAACTCAGGTTCTCACACTTATGCCACAAGTGCTTTGCACCTCAGCCATCTTCCAGATGACCCGTTACTATTTTAACAACTTGTTTATTTGGACCAAATCTAACAAAGGACCATCCATACGTTATAGTACACCGATTTCCACTTCAAATCAGCTTAGAGTTCTTATTCTTCTTTCTGCTAGGAAGCTGGGCTTTGACTGCAGGGCGTCTCTCTCATCAGACAATTGTTGCTATTGTCTTTGGCAACACTGACATGTTCTTCTGTCTCTTGTGTTCCTAGTAATTGGTCATTGGCTCTAGAGCAGTGGTTCTCAGCCTTCCTAATGCTGTGACCCTTTAATACAGTTCTTCATGTAATTATTATAGAATTATTTTCACTGCTACTTCATAACTGTAATTTTGCTACTGTTATGAATATCTGATATGCAGGATGTCTGTTATGCAACTTCCCCAAAAGGGTCTCGATCCACAGGCTGAGAGCCGCTGCCATAGAGGCTTACATTCAGGCTCTTATTGTTTTCTGATAGTGTCCCATATGTGCTATTATTCAGTCGCCTCGCTCTTGGGAGGAGTCAAACCAGGGAAGGACCTAGCTCTGCGCATGTGAGTGAAACTGAAAACAGCCAGGAGACGCTGGGTCATCCTGATCCAAGAAGGAATCATAAGTTAGGGCTCAGTAAAGAGACCACCAAAATGGCCGCTCCATGGCTAAGGGGAGGCTTTATTGTGGGTAAGAGAGAGAACATTCAGAGGTACTTGGGAGAGTCCAGAACAGAAAGAAAAAGAAGCACACTGGACATATCCAGAGCTGTCTGCAAGAGAAGTGAGAATGGCGTGTGTTGAGCACACACACACACACACACACACACACACACGCATGACGAGCTACATAGAGCAGGTATCTGGGAGGAGGGAGGCCTGTGAACTGCCGGCAGCTAGCGACCACAGGTATACCCACTGGCAGTGACCCTTTCTGGCAGGCAGAAACCCATTTAGCAGGTTCCTGAGAGATGCTGGCTTGTAGGCTTGTAGCAATCCTATAGTCCAGCTTGAGCTGAACCCAGGCTCATTCCTGGCCATATGCATGGCCTTCAGGAGTTCAGGGAGTTAGAATTTTCTTTGGACCTTACAATAATAAGGTCCCCTTTTCTTCCAGGAGGCTGAGAAGATGTTGGAAATAGGGGGTGATAAGTTCCCGCTCGAAAGCAGGAAGTTGCTAAGTAGTCCTGGCAAGAACAGCAACTTCAGGTAAGCCCCCAGATACCACAGCTTGCTGCTCGATTCCTGCCACAATCCTGCTGCCCTTCTGAGGAGCGGAGAAGTTGGCCCACCTTGTTGAAGCAGCTTTCCATTCCACTGTGTTCTGAACGCCTGCTGCGTGCCCCACTTTGTAGAGTTGGGAGTCAGGGAGCCAGTGTCCCCGGGGCCTTCTGCTGCCTTCTGCCATGTCGGGTGGACAGAGGCTTTGCTCGTGTCCCCATCAGTCTTTACAACAGTCCTCTAAGGGTCATTAGCTGCTTTGAACAACTGAGAAAACTGATTAGGAAATGTGCCAGGGTTACAAAGCTGCTAATACAAGTTCAGGATTGAGGTGGGACCTCTCTGCTTCTCAACCCTGTGTTCTTCTCGTCCACTTTCATAAGATCAGTCAGGTACGTTATCATTTCCAGGGGCTCCTCAGCCTGGTGGGCATGTCGTGCCTGCACTGGGGTCTGACTTTGGGGACAGGAAGAGACAGTTCACTCCAATGTGGGCTATAGCATTTTCAGTTCAGGGAGTCAAGAGGACACTGACCTTGAAGCCCAGACAAACCCTGTGCTGGTGTCTCAGCCCCTTTCTCTACCAAACTAGTTGCTCTCCACGAAGCACAGGGCACCAGCTGCTCTGACACCCGCGTCTGTCTGGGAGCAGCAGACTCAGGCTGTGGGAGCCTGGAGGAGAGAACAGCAGGAGGCGGGAAGAGGCCTGACGGCCACCACCTCCAGATCCCGGGGATTAGCTGTGATTTGATTGCAGATAAAGCAGGGAATCTCATCTTTGGTCCCTGAGAAGGTGTCTGTGTGTTGTATGGGAGAGACCATCAGCTCTGATGTCTAGCAGCAAAGCAGGATCATGGCTTCTTTTCCTGTGGGATGCCGCTGCTTCTCTTTGCTTTTCAGGAGACTGTCTGGCCCATAGATGGCTCTAGAGTAGTCTGGGGTTTCCCAGGACCAGGGGCTGTGTTAAGGGTCTTGGTTCTGTGCAGTTGTTTAACTTTTGATGGACACTTAGCCCAGAAAACTTTGGGTTTTACACCTTCAAAATGAGTATTATGACTATCCATCTCTGTCCCTGTCATTGTTAAGCTAACAGAGTATGGAAGTCTTTTGTAAACTATAATGAAAGAGATTCTGTTATGTAAATGAGAACGAACAAGAGTGCCTGCCACACCGCTGCCACTGTGTGGCAGCTCTTTGAAAGCACCAGCCCCAACGCAGCCCTGCTCAAAGCCATCTTGCCCCTCCTGCCCTGGCCTCTCCTGGCTGCAGATGGACCGCCCAGCTCCATGCTTAAGCCGCTCACCCTCCTTGTGGGGTGATGCTCACGGGAAACTAGGGTGTGTCTTACATGTTTGATATTCACTGCCTAAGCTTATATTTCAGATGTGACCCTTCTGAGATTAATATATCAGATGAAATGCCCAAAACCACAGTCTGGAAGGCTCTCAGTATAAATTCTGGAAATACAAAGGAGAAAAGGTAAAAAGATTTCTAATTTTTCATTTTTATTTACTTCTGACTTTTGAAATGGCAGTAGTGTTAAAGGTAAGATGTATGTTACTTGTAGGATTGGAATTCCCTGGTAAACAACAAAACTATTGCTAACTGTGCAGTAAGAGAAATAAAAACACAAAGTTCCCAAATACTTGAAAAGACAGGCTGTTCTGGGCTGCCCATTTACTTTGGCCCCAAAGGCAGGCTCTAATTATTTTAGAATGTAAATTTGCTTTACCTGTTTAGTTTCTTTAATTCACTTGGAGAAAGCTTCTCATTTCAGAACCTAAAGGTTGTTTCTGATTACTACAACCACACAAACTGGAAAATTGCTAAAAGCCTGTTAACACTAATAAATAATATAATAATGATAATAATGGCTCAAACTTTGACCCACTTAACTTAGGTTCTGAAATAAGAATTTTGCTAAAATAACAGTTTTCATATTCTGCAAAGAAATTTCTCTGTCATTTAACAATAGCATAGATCAGTTTTAATCAGAAAATGAAAGGATCAGAGGTATCTTTGCCTACATTAAGGAATGATATGTATATAAGTGAGAATTTTAGCCTAAACACCACTTACATCTAAGTCCTCAGATAAAAGAAGGGAAAAAATGTGAGTCTTGATATAGATAACAGGTTTTGTTAAAACAGACAAGCCAGGAGCTGGGAAAGCTGGTCCTGCTCCTACTTCCGGGCTTAACTTGGCATTTTGCCGCTTCTGGCATTTGACTCGGTGGTAAAGTGGGGTACTAGTGAGGTCGCTCTGGGGAGCAACCGAGTGCTTCCCAGGGTCACAGCTGCCAGTGTGTGCCGCCACTTCTTCCCTGAGTGGGTTAAAATAGATCTCTGTTCAATGCAAGTGAAACACAGAATCTTTTTCTCTCAGAGGAAAATCCAGGCAGCTGTGGAAATGTATAACACATGTGGTTATTTTTAGTTTAGAACTAGTCTACTTGTAAATGAATTTAAAATATAGCTAGATCCAAGTTGTGGTGGCATCTTCAAAGTATTGTGTTGAGAGCAGGCGCATGACATGTGTCCCTTTGTCTCACTGTGACATTGTTATCCAGCCTCTTCAATTGAGACTCTGCTGGGGTGGAAGATTTGGGCCATGAGTTGCCTCAGAGAAGTTCTGGGTTTCGAGAAATTGGTGAGTCTCTCGGAGAAGAAGCCAGGCTGAGTCAGGCCCTGTCCTTGGTCATCTCAAAGCCATGCAACCCGGAAGCTTTCAGTCGCTCAGTGTGCATTGGAAGACATACAGCTACCCTCATGCCAGCAGCCAGGCACCAGCAGGACCACCGGCAGGACCACTGGCAGGACGACCTCCTGTTGCTTCCTCTCCTCTTTCTTCTTCCTCTTCAGAACTGCCACCATTAAGGAGCCAGCTTCCCATTTTTCAGACATTTTCTCCTGTACTCTCTGCTGGCCTCGGAAGCCACACGAGTCCATTCTGTCATGAGGATTCCTTCATGAGATCCCTCTTCATGAACGGTGGCTTGGGGTGGTAGCAGAGGGGCTAAGAAGGGAGGTTCCTGCACTGTTGCCAGCTGCAGCTCACGGGCAGCCTCCCTTCCATCTCTACTTGAAAGGGGTGCTGGTCAGACCAGACACTGTAGGAGGTTTGCTGCCTGAGATCAACCATCCAGGCATCAACAGTGGCCACCACCAGAAGTGGCAAGATGCCACTGACCTGGGGTCATCCGTATCAATTCCCAGACAACACGATGTCGGCAGACCTTTGGAAGATGCAGGGCCAAGTGTGAGAGCAAGAGTTTAGCTGAATAAAGGAAGGCTTCAGAGAAGTCGGCAACATTAGGGGATTGAACATCTTTTCTTGGGTTCCCTTGAAACTAGAGAAGGAGAAGGAGCCTGTGACTGAAGCGACCAGGGCAGACTTCCTAGCCTGGGGTTTGGTGTCAGGTCTGTTTTGTAGCCCTTTAGGAAAGATCGGTGGCAGTTCTTTGTGAGTCAAAAAGTGGGTCTGGGGTTGTTGTTGGCTGTTTTGTGGGACTGTTTGACATTCTGCTGTTGTCTCTTGAGGCTACATTGTTATTTCACCCTGGAGAAGTAACAACACAGTGCTCCTCGACATCTCCTTAGCTGCCTTGGTAGCGAACACCATCACTCAATGGACCAAAACCGCCTTCAGCCCTGTGGCTTCCTTGTCACACAGATTTCTTTTGGTTGACAGAAGTTCTGCATCTCAGATATAAAAATCCATGCTAAGAAATGAACTGTAAATGGTGAAGTCAGTTTGGGCTCTTGGTTTCAAAGTATGTGAGTGATTTTACAACTACTGTCAGGGGTTTGGGCCCCGGCGCTCATAGACCTCCCCTTCCTTTGTGCACAGAGAGTGACTAGCGAGCTGGTCCTGCTGGCTTTCCATCTGCATCTTTGTACACAAGACCTCCCCGTACACAGTGTGTGCTTTCTTTCCCTGGGTGAGGACGCGTGCGCCATTTGATGCGGTTTGCACCCTCAGACTCTGACTGCACACTAAGGCATCTGCTTACTCTCTAAAGCGTTTGCTGTTGAGGGACCCTTGTCGCCACCACTTCCCTGCCTGTGCAGGCCACTGTCCTGTTGACGCAAAGATGATTTTCAAGATATTTAACAATCGGTACAGGACAGACACAAGGCACGCAGAGCAGATACCCTTTGTAAAATAGTGGCAGGCATTGCTGTTCTGTGCCTGGTGAATGAATGCCACCCTACTCTCAAATCCTGACGTCCTCTGAAATAGGGGTTTTGTTCCTGGTTTGTCTGATCTCTATGCACAGGAGATGTCTGTTCTGTTTCAGCAGCAGCCCTGACTTGCTCTCAGGTATTCCATACTGGAACAGGCAGGTTCTACAGAAATCAGTGGGCATTAAAGTCTCTGAGAGCCAAATTTCCCGAGCAGATCCCTTCAGGGCAGATCTAATCATTGTAACCCTTTCCCAGCTGGGAATGATTCTGAAGCAGCCTGTCGTGGGAAAACTTTCTTGATAACTTCATGGCTGCTCTCTTTCATTGCTTTTGACCCCTGGGAACACCCCCCTTTTCTTGCCCCATCTTTTTCCTCCTGTATTTTCATGCAACCTTTTGTGTAGGGAAATTGGTGACTGCTTCACCTCCTGCTCTGGCCTCCGTGCACCTGAGAGGCAGGAGTGTGGGGTGCCCATCCTGCACCGAAGTCAGTGGCAGTGTCGCTGAGGACAGTGGCTCTTCCCAAGCCCTGATGCTGAGTAGCCCTGGGGGTGGGGCTGCCTTTGTTAGCCCTGAGCAATGCAGCTGTGGGACCTCTGGTTTTTTCTCATGCCAACGTTTGCTGGGACCAGAGAAGTGGTCATCTGTTCTCTGAAAGGGTAGCTCTCTGCTGCCAGCCAATGTCCTGACACGCTGGTGCTGTCAGCTGGCAATGTGACCCAAGTGGAGGGAGGCAGAGACTCAAGAACATGTTGCAAGTTGAGCCTTGGCTCTAGGGTTGCTTCCTGACGACTCTCAGGGAGAAGGTGAAGACCTGAAGAGATAGATGCACTGTGAGGTTGCCAGTGTGTTTGGTTGCCTAACACACGTGCAGCGTGGGTAAGGTCAGGAGGCCGTGTGCTTCACCACCCGCAGCCCCATCCCAGGTCTCCTTCACTCATGAAACCTGCCTTTTTTATAGACAGAAAGCGGCCATATCTTCCCCAAAGACAATGTGAATAGTCATAGTTTCTCTTTGTTGATGATGGGACTTTTAAATTTCTTATAAACGCTGGATAAAAATCTGGCATTGACTAAGTCCGCAGCCTGCCCAAAGGCTAGGGCAGCCTTCCAGCCTCCCCTCTGGACAGTCTGTGGTTTGTGCTCATCCTAAAGGACAGCTCCTAATCCCACTTTCTCCTCCACCTGCCCAGCTCTCCAGACTCCTTCATCAGTCAGGGAAGCAGGGATTGTCCTTGTACCCTGTCTAGTGACCCATCGTTCGTATACTGAAGCGTAGGATTGGTTAGGGTCTAGGACCCCTGGGATTTTTTTTAGTCTTTAATGAACATCAGAGACACCATTATCATATTGTCTCCCCTGTGACTTTGCCAGTGTCTTTGAAGGTCTTTGAAAGAGTGACAGAACCTTCACCTAGGACTTTAACTGTATATGTGTGGGTGTTTGTCTACATGTATGTCTTTGTACCATGTGTGTGCCCGGGGCCTGAAGAGAGCAGAGGGCATCACACTTCCTGGAACCAGATTTACAGATCATTGTGAGCATCCATGTGGGTGTTGGGACTCATCCCTGGGTCCTCCTGACCGTGGAACCTTGTCCTCAGCTTCCTGGGCTCTTAAGCTGTGGGGTCAGGCTAGTTTGTCCCTCGTGGCCCTCAGCATCCTCGCTGGACATTCTCAGGCCCTCCTCTCTTAGTGGAGACCCTTTAGCCGGCCCTGGCTGGCTGGGCGAGACCTCACCCACGAGCCTGCCTCTTCTGCCTCGGCTTTCCTGGAACCATTTCTTTCTCTCCTTCAGCTCTTCCTGCCATTGTTCAGGTTCCTTCTGTGGAAAGAACCCTGACCAGCAGCTGAGGTGACCAGGGCTTCGAGTTCAGCTGCTGCTGCTGCCTCTCAGAAAAGGACCTCTATGGTTATGCTCTGGCATGACATGTTGAGGAGCTCTAAGTTCCTAAGCTCCCATGTTCGTCTGTACTGATCACATGACATGTTGAGGAGCTCTAAGCGTTCCAAAGCACCCATGTTCATCTATACTGATCTACATTTGCTCTAGGCAGGAAAACACATTCAAAATTGAAATAGAAGCAAATTTCTGCTCTAACTATTTTTGAGTGATTCTCGGTTCCCCCTCCAACACTCCTGCTCTGAGATAGGGTCTCACTGTGTAGACCAAGCTAGCCATCAGCTTGCAGCAGTTTTCCTGCCTCCCCAGCGCTGGGGTTCCGAGCATGAGCCACCATACCTGGCTTGCCCTTGGTCTTCATGGCATTAATTATAGAGAATGAATGACTGACCCAGTCACACTCTTTCTTCAGTTGCCTTTTTTGTGGCCAGAAATGAGGATAATTTTCATAAGCAAAGGAGGTATGAAGTAACCATTGCTGTTCGGAGTGTGTGCGAGGAGTGGAGTCTTTTCAGTAGCCGTCAGGAGTGAGCCATCCAGACTGGGTCCTTAGAGGAGATTCTGTGCTCAGAAGAATGGAATGGGTTTGGTCCTTCCCAAGAGAGAAGGAATAGTGCCCTCCCCCAGATCTAACCCACTTCCGGTGAATACGAAGTGTTTACCCCTAGCTGCCATTCTCAGAGCAGGAGGCATAGCCCATCCCCCCACCCTCCCACAACCTCTTCCTAAACCCAGGCACAATTGGCTGGCCTGGGCATTGCTTAACGGGCATATGGGCGATTTCTCCAGCAGGCTTTTACTTGTGTGATTGCCTTGGAACCTGAAGTACTAACCTGAATGTGCAATTGATCCTTTTGTGAGAGAAGCCAAAATCCTTCCTGCCCCTCTCCACTCCTGAGATGCTAAGCCGGCCTCTTGTCTCTTGTCTGTCATTGGTTAGAAGTGGCTGATGGTGTCCATGGAGAGCAGGGCAGCCTTCCCACGGAAGGGGACTGATGGTATCTGTGGAGAGCAGGGCAGTCTTCCCACAGACAGGGCGACTCGAGGTGCTGGAACTTTCCCCTCCGTTTCTATGTTCTCTCTAGTAGGTCTCGTGCAGAAGCAGATATTTTGTTTTAGAAATTCCAAAGTCTATATTTTTAGTGTAAGAAGTGTACCCTCACCACACTCCATGGCGTAAATAGAACTGGGAATAAAATGTGTCATTGTGATTATCCCATAGCAGTGTGTGCTAGAAACAAGACCCCCCCGTTCTGGGCTGTCTATGGCGGGCAGGTGACTGTGACAGTGTATCTCTTAGCCCTCCGCCTGCCCTCATTTGTGTGTGCTCACCTCTCTGGGCGACAAATAAAGTCCGTATAAACTGTTTGCTTCTGTGCTGTTTTTTGAGCCTGAGTTCAGGTCATATGGAGAAGATTCATGAAGATAGTGGAACAAAGGATTGGAGGGGAGGGGTCTGCCAAGGGTGCGGCAGATGGGGCTTTGTGGCTCTATGTGCTGTCCTGAGCCTCTAGAATGCTTACAGCTGGGCCATGGCACAGGCTAATGGGCCTCTCTTAGAGCCAGCAGGAAAGGAAAGGGATATTTTGAAGACACCCCTGGACTATGAGATCAATATCTAAGCACTACCCAGTGCCTCAAAATACAGATTTTAGGATATGGCTCCTAAAGGTTGGTTCTGGGAGAGTGCGGGGGCACTTGGTTACTTTAACTCTCAAACTTCACAGTTCAACGTTAGGGACAAGGGGAAGATGGACATGGTGGAGTAGGAACAGCCAGTGGGGGAGTGAAAGAAAAGGGGATGTGGGGAGCCAGGCAAGGATGCCCGACTGGATGACAAAAAACTTATCCCCTGGAAGCACCCAGTGTGGATATTCAGAAAGGTGAGAGTCAGCCATGCTGGACATGCAGTCTATAGGCTTAGGACTCCCCAGCTCCCAGACTTTTGCTGTCTTTTGGCTGTTTTCCCAGCTCCTCCAGTGTACGCATGCCCTCTGCCTACTTCCCGGGTGTGCTTGGTCTGTGCTATGTAGTGCTAGTGCTGGAGAAGCTGCTCTTGCAGGACACAGCCAGCTCTGATGTCGTGAGCTCCAGAGGGCAGGAATCATCGTACCCTACTCAGGGTTTGGGAGTCTATTAATTGATAAGTCGAATGTCCTTAGGAAGGACCTGGCTTGTAGCAGTGGAAAGAACTGATAAACACAGAGATTGAGGGCTCCTAGACTAATTCAGCATTGATCGCATCAGGTCTTTGCTGCATCTTCTTTTTATAGCTTCGCCGTTAGAAGATGGCTTCTGAAACTAGTAGGAGCTTCATTAGCCAAGATCACTGCCACATGCAAGATAGGCAGTCTTCCCGTCTCTCTCTCTTTACCTCTCTTGTCCACTCCACCTCTCATTTAAATAATGAGGAGGGCCCCAGAAGCAGCCCACACAGCACTGGTCAGAACTGGGTCACACACCGTCTCTTAAGGATGATCACAGGTCAACTTTATCCTTTGGGGTCAGCACTCATTTTCCTGGTCATGTTCTGTTCCAGCACCTGTACAGGATCAGCATTCTACAGCAAAGACTAAGCTGGCGAGCCCAGGAGACGCTCTCCGTGGCTGGAGAGATGCCCCAGGGAGGGGCACAGGTTCCAGAACATGCTTGAACATCACCTGCCAGCGTGCCTCACCTTGGCCATGGTGCAGTACTTGCTGCCAGGCTTCACCTCCAGCTAGCTTGTTCCCACCCAGTTCTAGAATGTTCCCCCTGCATTTGAGCTCTTGCCCAGACTCTCACAGCCTTACCACCTCCAGATCCTTTCAACTTCAGCCCCCGCAGCTCCCAGCTTCACTGTCTCTGCACTTCCAAAATGAATACCAAGCCTGATAGTGCTGTGGGTCCCCACTTTTTTTGTAGGCCACAGTATAGGGTCCTGACAGCTCGGGCAGAGGAGAAAGGTGTGTGTGGCGCTGTAGAGAACAGGGCTGTGGGACCCAGCAGTTAGGAGCACCTGCTGCTTTTCCTGCAACCCACATGGCAGCTCACCGCCATCTGTAACTCCAATTCCAGGGGATCCGAAGCCCACCTCTGGCCTTCACAGGGACCAGGCATGCAAGTGGTGCAGAGGCATACATGCAGGCAAACACCCATACTCATAAATAAAAAAATTAAAAAGCCAGAAGGCGTGGCTGTGAAGGACTGTGATCGTCAGTTTCCTTCTGAAGTTATGAGCCTAAGAGATGCAGGAACGCTGCGTTCAGTTACCTTAGCCATGGCCAAAGACAATATTTCCTGATTACATTCGGGTGATTTTAATTGTAGGGGTACACGGACACATGCTTGCAGGATGCTACGCTGCCCACTTGCCCACCACACATGCCGTATACGCTGACCCTTACTGTCGGGTGTTTCTGATAGAGGGACGCACCTGTTGGGAGGCTATACCCCTCAGAAGACGCCCGGCCTATAGCCGTCAATTCAGCAGCAAGCCTGCCCCATCTCTTTCTACAGTAGCCAGCTGACTTGGGCAGTTTGCCCCAGTGGTGCCTGACTTTCTTCACCTGCGAAATGGGGAAGATGATTCTACAGTACACAGCCAGTGGTAGAGGCAGGGTGAGGGAAGGGGTGCAGGGTGCAAAAGCTAGCTCTTCTGTGTTCCCCACACCTCCTCGTCTCAGCACGGCTCCCCCATCTTCTTGCCTTTTGGCATTGCGGCTGCATTGCTGGATTGGCCTCCCTGCCCCAGAGTCTGCTCCAGGCAAAGGGGTGGCCGTCACTGGGACTGGCTTCTGAGTGGTTTGCACTATTCATAAGAAGAAAGAGACCTTGTTCAGGCCTCTTGGGATACACATGCTCTCCAGCGTAGGGGTCTAGCTATCACCTGTCCTGTGGGGTCATGGGACACTAGCTCCCAGATTTGCCAACACTTCGCCTGGAGGGAAGAAGACCAGTGGGCAGGTTTACCGAGTTCCTACAGGTGAGTGACCTCTGTTACTGTCCTAACTCCAAAATCCCTCTTATGAGCTAGGGAATCACAGTGGGCTGTCCTCACCAAATCCCTAGCAGTCAGTCACATGGGAAAGACAGTGCCAGGCTTGACTGCCCACTCACTTGCTCTTCATGAAACACTGAACTGAGAGAGTCTAGCATCAGTTGGGGGGGTCTCTGTCTTAGTGTTCTATTGCAGTGAAGAGACACCATGACCACAGCAACTCTTATAAAGGAAGCATTTAATTCGGGCTGGCTCACAGTTTCAGCAGTTTAGCCCTTGTCATGGTGGGGAGCACGGCAACACACAGGCAGACATAGTAGTAGAAGTAGTTGAGAATTCTACATCTGGATCCATAGGCATCAGGAAGAGAGAGATGCTGAGAGCCCACACTTCCTCCAACAAGGCCATACCTAATCCCAAGCAGAGCCATTATGACCCTAGGAAGTCATCATTCTTGCTCAAACCACCACAGGGTCACAAGGACTTCCCTGCTTTGCTGCAACTCCAATAATTGCTGTCTTCTTACTCAAAGGCCTCTGGCTTTTTGTGACCCATTGTGCAGCGCTGAAGACTTAACCTAGCCAGTGTCTGCTGTTCTGTGTGCTTCAGTCATTCTGATCCAATGTTTGCCGTGTGTGCAGTGGGCACTGCAGATAGATGAGGGTCAGTGTCTGCTGTTCTGTGTGCTTCAGTCATTCTGATCCAATGTTTGCCGTGTGTGCAGTGGGTGTTACAGATGAAGAAAATGGTGCTCACCATCACGCTCGCACAACTGAGTAAGAGCCAAGGGTGGAGCCTGGTTTTTGTTCAGATCTGTGCTCTCAGCTTCTACTCTCTGCTAACTCCAAAAGGTTCCTGTTCTGTTTTTGTGGGGTTTTTGTTTGTTTTCCAATTTGACACAAGCTAAAATTATCTGGAAAGAGAACGTTAAGTTGAGAAAATGCCCCCATCAAATTGTCTGTAGGGCATTTTTTTCATTTTTAATTCTTTTTATATTAAAAAAATTTTCGTACAATATATTTCGATCATGTTTTTTGTTCCCTCAACTTTCCCAGATCCTCCCCACTCCCTATCCATTCAACTTTATGCTTTCTTTCTCTATTTTTCTCTCCCAGAAAAGAAAAACAAAAAAACAAGAAACAAACAAAAAATATTCCCAAGAAACACACATACAAAAGGACCCCACAAAAACAAAAATCAAATATGCTAAAGACCAATAAAACAAACAACCAAAAAACACAAAAACAAAATGAAACAAAAAGTCTTCAAAAATACCAATAGGGCATTTTCTTGATGATTGGTACATAAGGTGGTGCCGCCCTGGACGGGTGGCCCTGGGCTCTGTAAGAAAGTACGCTAAGCAAGTCAGGAAGAGCAAGCCAATGAGCAGCGTCCTCTGTGGCCTCTGCTTCAGTTCAGTCTGGCCTCCAGGTTCCTGCCTTGAGTCCTGCTCTGACGTCCCTCTATGACGGGTTGTAACGTGATGTGCTAGCCAAGCAAGCTCTCTCCTCAGGCTCCGTTTGGTCACGGTGCTTATCACGGTCACCGAAAGCAAAGCAGGATCGTTCTAGCTGGACCCGCATGTTAAACATCTCGTAGAGAAGGGACGAGAAAATGCTGCAGAACAAAACGCTAAAAGAGAAACAGTTGGAGAGCATCCCAGCTCATTGCCTATAAATAACAGAAGTCAAGAAATCAAGTTCTTACTCTGGAATGATCGAAAAAATTCAAATAATAAAATACACACCCTGTAAGCATCTTTTACAAATGCTGGACATGCGGCTTTCCCCCTCATGAACAACCAAGGCTCAATTGCTGCTCCCAAACACTCTAGCCGATCTTCCCCAGGACAAAGGGCACCAGGGTACAGTGTAAGGGTGCCAGGAAGCAAAGCACTGATTGGGTGTCCTGGCAGTAAGATGTGATCATTGTGGCCAAATTGTCACATTATAAACCACCACCTGCCTCACTCCCCTCTGGTCTGTATAGTGTGCTCTGTTCAGAGACCACTGGAAAAACAGAGAAACCCAAAGCATGTGTTTAAAAGGAGCTGCTGAGAGGAATAGAAAAGAGACTCAGAGTCCTGGCAACTGGGATGTTCTCATCCTATAAAAGGGAACATCAGAGTCGTCAGAGGACCTGCGGTTGGACAGCACCTGCAAATCAGTCCTGTGGGCAAGGGTCCTTTCAGAGCCAAGGAAGCCAAAGAGGAGCTGGGAGCCCAGAGGTGGGAGTGCAGGGAGGAGGTTCAGAAAAGGTGTGCTGAGGGATGAGCTTAGGATGAAGAATCCTAGGTCAGAAGCCACTGATCAGAAAACGGAGCCATCTGAAGTCCTTAACTGCTGTCCAGGACTCCAGTGGCAGGGATATTTTGGCTTTGGGATATTTT